AGTTGTTGTCTTTTTTTCTTGATTACGTTGCAAGTATATTTAAAATTTCCGTCTAATCTATGTCTGAATTATTGATCATTGCGTCTGATGATCGTTCATTAAATTTTTTTTATTATTTTCAATTGAAATTCAGTTTCCATGTGTTTGTATGGAAACATTTTCTTCTGACAAACATTGTACATTTGCGTTTCATTCATTTATTCATTGAAAATAGTTTAAAATTCCTACCTTCAATGTACATAATCCTTAGTTTAGAGTTTTAAAAGTTCATCCTACAATAGACTTCATTGTTTTCACCATATTTTAATAACCCCACCTCCACCTACTTAGAGCTCCCCTCGCTTAACCCACCCACCCAACCACCTACCCACCCACCCCCTCCATGCAGGTACGTGACAATGGGTATTGAAATGGGTAATGTGGCAGTGTTAAGGACCTTCAGAGTACTGAGAGCCCTTAAAACTGTTGCGGTTGTGCCAGGTTTGTCCTTACAAAAAAGCATTTTTTGCTATCAAAACACACTGCAGAAGAACTCACACAATACGCACTCCTAGTGGCATTTGTACGCATTAAATAAGCATTTTTAAACGGACATCAAAATAAATACACACAAATATATATATATATATATCTATTGATTTATTATATCCTAAAGTCGCACCTTAATTAAGTTATTCCATTCATTCATACTGATCTGGGGTTTTGCTTAAATACGTATGAAAATTTGCTCTGAAATGCGTACACGCATGTTCTTAGCGTTAACGTAATACAACAGCCATGCATGTGTACCGCTATAAATATCTCTTTATGTGTGTGTGTGTGTGTTTGTGTTTGCGTGTTTGTGTGTGTGTGTAAATACTCTCGCGTGTGCGTGTATGTGTATTAAATACCTTTTCGTATTTGTATAATACCTTTTGTAATTTTCTGTACATAAATATTGTACATCCCTATGACAAAAATCACCCTTTTTATGAATTGTTTGTAATATTTTTGCAAGCATGTACATAGCTTTAATATGAGTAATAATTACAATAAATATGTTTTAATTATGTCGAAATCACATTTTATTACTACACTAACTGCGTGTCTTTGTCGGGATTTGTGTATGTCAATTATTGTTATTAACTGACATGAGATTGCAGTTTACTAGCTACGGTTAAATTATTTTGAGACATGTTATTATTCATCGAAATTTATAATCAATCAGTCATTGCTGCTTAATAATACCACAGACCAAGTAACTTTAATTCGATTTAAAATCTAATATAAAACACAAAACCAAAAAAATTTTACTCTAAATATATAGATAGAAAAAAATAAAAAAATAAATAAAAATCTAACAAAAATAGATAGAATTTGATTAAAAAAAATCATAAAAAAATCACAACATTCAATTCATCTGCGTTGGAGTCTCATTACTTACGCTACACGCATAGGCCTTCCCATGCTCCATACTATCGTAACACAAGTACATTAAATTGTTATACTGCCTAGTCTTCCTTCGTCTCTCATCATATAGTTCTTCTCTCTTTCTTTCTCTCCTTTTCTCTCTTTCTCTCTTATTCTTCTTCCTCTTTTCCTTCCTTTCCCTTCCTCTTTCTCTTTCTCCTTTGCTTACTCTATCTCTTTTTATAAATATATCTATATGTGTGTGTGTGTGCAATATAAAACCATCCCATTTATTAAATCATTATTTATTTATTATTATTATTAAAATTATTGAAAGTTATTATTACTAATTGTTACCTTATTATTACCATAATTAATTTTTATTAATGCTGATTGTTTTTAATCTTTTCCATACATATATTTAACTCATGAAGTTTCTTTTATTTTTATACGATAATCTTAACTGCCTCTCTGATTTAGGTACTAATAAAAGAACAATAATTTTTTTGTAGTGTAGTGTAGCCACTGATCATCATCATCATCATCATCATCATCATCATCATCATCATCATCATCATCATCATCATCACCACCACCATCATCATCATTATCATCATCGTCGTCGTCATCGTCATCATCACCCAGGTCTCAAAACCATCGTTGGTGCCTTAATGGAAGCAGTGCGTCGCCTTCGTGACGTCATGATTCTTTCCGTCTTCGTCCTCTCCATCTTTGCCCTCGTTGGCCTCCAACTTTACCAGGGCCAGTCTTTTTTTTATAACTCTTTCTTTCTTCTCTCTCTGTCTCTCTTTCTATTTTTTTTATTTTTTTTACCTTGCTTTTCTCTCTCTCTCCCTCTTTCTCTCTTCTTCTCCCTCTTTCTTTCTTTTTCTCTCTTTCTTTCACTATTTAACGTCTATCTCTTTTTACAAAAATTTTGACTATAATTTTTTTTTATAATTTAAAAAACCTAAAATTGCAAATTTTTTTATATGACATTTTGTTGTGCATTGTTAAAACTGTTGTTGAAAGCTTATTTTCTCATAAAACTTGTTAACGAGGTTTGTAATGTTAAATGTAATTAACGTAATTGGTGAGCGCTTCTCAAATGCATTTTACTGCTATTTTTATTTTATTTTATTTTTCACAAAAATAATTTTTTCTCTGATTTTAACTGAAGAGTAGAATAATAGGAATAAGATGTCATAGTTCATGATATTTACGCACAAGATTGTCTTACATGAGCATTTACATCAGGCATAAATTTAGATTGTGTATGCTGCATTTATGTTGTACCGGTACTTCGTTTCGTTATTCATGTTCTTTAGTAATTGAGTTGTTTAATAACGTTAACTCTATATCGCAAGAGTACTTAAATTTTTAGTAACGTTTCATATGTTGTATTTAAATTGTTTAGTAAAGTTATTTGTACTGTAATTGTTCTTGTATTGTTTAGTAAAATTACTTAGTAATGTTTAGTATTCATAGTGTTCAGTAAAGTTATACGTATATACAACATGTGTACTTCGTTTAATAACGTTTCTTGCGTCCTATAAGTACTACTGCTCTTTATTAATGCTACTTAAGTTGTAGTAAGTGTACTGTTGTGAAACATTAAAGTTAATTGACAAAAAAAAACTTTTACGGACTACAGGTTCAATGACTAAAAAATGTGTAAAAGAAAACCCACACTCAATACGGCCACTTGAAAATTCCACTGATGAGTATAAGCAGATCTATAAAGAATTTGTCAGCAATAAATGTTAGCGTACCTTTGTATATTTTAGTCTTTATTTTTGTATGTATCTATCTTTGTATGTATCTTTGTATGTATGTATTTATTTTTGTGTATATCTATCTTTGTGTATATTTATTGTATTTTATCTGGTATTGAACGTTTTTTGTATTGTTTTGCTTGAAAATTTCACCGATGAGTATAAGCAGATCTATAAAGAATTTGACAGCAATAAATGTTACTACAGCTTTGTATACTTTGTATCTTTTCTTTTTTGTATCTCTTTTCATGTTGATTTTTAAATAGTTCACATGAATACAACTGTTTAAAAAAAAAAAACTAGCGAACTGGTTCAAACCGACGGGCCGTCCCTTCATGCTGTGTGGCATGTACGGAGACGAATCAGGGGGGTAGGTTGTGGTTTTTTTATTATTTTAAAATAATTTATTTTATTAATTTATTATATTTATTAATATAATTTTATTATAACTATCATATAATTATAATTATAATAATTATTATTAATTAGCATCAGCAATTTAGTACAGTTTTTAAAAACGTTTTTCTATTAGTGATTATTTGTACGATGAAAATCCGTAATCAAAACGACAAAATTGACGCGAAGTTATTTTAAAAAAAATTTTTTAATTCTGTCTCTCGTTATTTTTTTTGGCAATAAAAAAATTAATATATATATTCGTAAAGACCAATTAAGTTTCAACGTTAATGAAAATCTCACCACCACTACTACTACTAACAGCAATAACACTAATTATAGAATAAAAAGCTCTACTGGTGCAGACATGGGCATATGAATCATATGAGTATGCGAGCTATTCTTATTAGATGATGTCGTTTATGGATCTCTATATATTTTCCTTACCATTCCTTATCCAGGTGTTAAGATGTTTTTTTTATACTTGGATGAAACTTATTTTTCAAAATTTTGAACTACAAGACATCGTCATTTTTAATTACCTCATTTAGAAACGTGTTTTTTTTTGGGGGGGGAATAGTATTTGTTGAGAAGACGATTTTTGTACGTATCATTTTAACATTTTTGCGTTGCAAAAGTGCAACAAAATTGTACGCTCCACAACCTAGAAATGAGTGTAATGATATTTTAGCAGTGGAGAGCCCTCACACGCAGAAGTTTCAAAAACATAGCAAAAACTAAAATTAAAATTATTCGTACACTCACTTTCGCAGAGACTGCCCGGTGAACTACACGTGTGCCAAGGGTGGCGACAATCCCGACTTCAACTACACCAACTTCGACAACTTCGGTTGGGCCATGCTCTGCGCGTTCAGATTGATGACTCAAGACTACTGGGAGAATCTCTATCAGCAGGTTTGAAAGGATTGTGTTTACAATTTATTTCATGCCCAGGATTTATTAGTTCTGCTTATCGTGAATATAGTATGATTGATTAAATGTACTGACTGACTGACTGACCGACTGATGTACAAATACAATTATGTGTACTGTACATTAATTGTATACGTGTATACAGTGAAAAAGTGTTGAAGTTTAATGTCATACATTACTAAAATCAACAGCCGCATCATTTCAAACTACATAATCACCATCATTATCATAATCATCATCATCATCATAATTATCCTCATCGCCATCATCATCACCACCACCATCCTCGCCACCATCATCCTCATCACCACCACAATCGTCGTCATCATCATCTTCTTCTTCTAGGTAATTCGCACGAACGGACCGAACCAGGTGTTATTCTTCGTCATCGTCATCTTTCTCGGCTCCTTCTACCTCGTCAACGTCATTCTCGCCATCGTCGCCATGTCATACGACGACTGCCGCAAGCAGGACCAAATTGATGCTGACTTGGAGGTCTGTATGTCGCTGCTCTTGTTGCCGTGTTTGTCGTGGCTGACGCCATTAGAAATTACAAATTATTTCCGTTTTATATCTGCTTAGGTTATTGTTGAGTGTGTGTTCGTCTTTAGTTGTCTTATATAATGTATGTAATGTAATGTAGTTGGTTGTATTGTGTCATTTTTAGTGTTTTCAATAAAGTTTATATATTGACTCAATTCAATTTTAATAATTTTCAATAGTATCGGCAAGTATTCTGCGAATTTATTTCTTTACAACTATAATCATTGTAAACTAAAGCTGTTCAGTTGTGGAAGGCTTGTGATATTGAGAGCAGTAACTTTATAAAATCTTTTCTGAAATTATCACAACCACTTACGTCTAAACAAATTGTTTTCAAGTTGTCAGAATCAGTTTAAACTTGTCAACACGCTAGCTAGAACATGAAAAAAAACAAAGTAAACATTTAACAGACATCATTATTAGCTTTTTATTTTCTAAGTATTATGTTTACTGCGAATTTTACTATTTGCTAGGCTAATTATTATCCCCTTTTTACACAAAACTATGTTATCCGATTTTGTTTGAAATTAATGAAGGAATGTTTGCAATCATTAGTGCACAAAAATAGCAATAGATTTTGCTACTAAGCTTCATTCATGCTACTACAGAGGTTAACCACCTATGCAAAATTTATTAGGTAGGTGATCGACACCAGTAATGTCGTCTTCTTCTCATTCGCACAGTTGTAAATGCAAAATAGGAGGTTTGATGCAATCCAAATCTCATTAATTTTCAGATTGTATTTGGTTGATGCTTGATCGTATGCAAAGAAGGCAGGCTTGCGGGTTTTTTTTGAATTTCATCTTTAAAAAGGAAATGACAGGAAACTATTGATTTGCGAGTGTCTTCGACTGATGGCTTCATTTCAAACCTGAAAAATATAACGACACAACAGAAATATGAAAAGAACTGCCAATACACGGACAATAATTAAAACAAAAACGTTAAAAGATATGTTATAACACCGAATCAATAATACAAAATAATAACAAAACACAGTATATAACAATAAATGATTATAACAACGTCAAAACGGCAATTCTAAATAAACTAAAGTTACGTAAGAATTTGAAAATTGAGATATTGAAAAATTGAACTTGACTATATATAGGCGGAGGAGGAAGCCGAGATGAAGGCAGAAGAGGCATTCTTCGAGGTGAAGTACACCCCTTCCGTGGGGTCAGCCAACAGCCTCATGCTCGCCAACCCCAGGTACTCCAATGGTGGGAATGGCCGCCCTGTAGCTTGCGACAAGATGAGCGTGCAGTCGGAATATTGCTGCAGCCACAATTGCAACCAGGAGATCTATAAGCAGAAAGAAAAATCAGTTAGTCGGCTTGTTTTGAAGTTCGAAGTGTGTGAGAATAGAGTTTGGAAAAATTTTAAAAATAAGAAGGTTATTTATTGAAGTTTTATTGAAACTCGAAAAGTAAAAAATCATATTTTAAAAGTAGGTTTAAATTTTTAAATAAATGAAACTAAAAATTTATTTGGCTATAATGATTTCAAATTTTGAATAAAATTGGCCAAATGTTGCAATAATTTAAACAATTTCATATCGTTAAACTTAAAAAAGCACTTTCTCACCCTGCAATACACAAACAAACACATGCACATGTAGTAAAACACAAACATACACACGCACAAACACATTCACATGTAGTACAACACAAACATACACAGACACATTCACATGTAGTACAACACAAACATACACATACACAGACACATTCACATGAAGTACAACACAAATATACACATACACGCAACCAAACGCACGCATATTTAGTACAACAGTGTACCAGGGACCCCATACGGCATGCACGAACTGGTCAAACATCGGTCCAGTCAATTCAGTTGGAGGAAGACCTCATCGAAAGGAAGTGTCATGTCCGCATTTCTCAAGCCAATCTTGTTACCCTGCTTGGATAATTTAGACCTCCCTTACGCAGACGATTCAGAAGCAGTGACTCCTAGTTCAGAAGATATATGCAATTTCCACAATGCGCAATATTATTTCAACGCTCAAAATAGGTTTGTATGTGTAGAACTTAAAAAAGCCACTTTTTTACCCTGCAGTACACAAACAAACACATACACGTTTGTTTGCGTGTATGTATAAATTTGTGTTGTACTACATGTGAATGTGTTTGTGTATGTTTGTGTTGTACTACATGTGAATGTGTTTGTGTATGTGTATGTTATGTTTGTGTTGTTTTCCACTCAACTGGATGAAATTAAGTGCACGTGACATGTTCCATAAAATTCATGATACTTCCACAATCACCGCCACAGTCGGCGGCGGCCAAGCTGCTCCAGCAACCACAGCCGCATGAGCCACACTTATCAGAACCCTGCTCCCAACGGCTATGGCAACGTCATGCATGCGACAGCAACCAACAACAGCAACAACTGTTACAACAACAGCAGCCACTACTACAACTGCAACAACAACAACAACAGCCACACGAACAACAACTGCAGCAACTACTACCAGCTGCCGCCGAATATGCAACTGCAAAACCAACGACGCCAGTTTGTTCCATTAGCACTTCAATCCACAACATCTTTTCAATACAGCATGGTTCCAAACACAAACATCAACAACAACACATGCGTCAACAGCATCATCAACAACAACAACAGTAGCATCAGTAACAACAACAAACACGACTGCAATGGAAGGAGCCAGGAAGCCATGCTGTTCAGCAACATCACAACAAACAGCTATCTATCCAGTGCAGATACGCCACAAACGTTCAAGACATACCTCGACCACTCACAGCAGCAGCAGCTGCAGAATCAATCGCAGCAACTGCTGCAGCAACAAACATCTTCCACGAGTAAGGAGTGTGGCTCCAGTCTTACGCTTGCTACCAATTCCAAGGTTTCCATCGTTTTACATTCATGATATAATTCAGACCCAGACTCTACTTAAATTGAAATTTTAGAAATGTCTGTTAATATGCAATGGTAACCTGATGTCATTTTTCAGGCACACACACACGACACACACACACAAACACAACACACACACACACACACAAACACAACACACACACACACAAACACAACAAACACACACGCACGCGTAGACTTCCAAGACGTGTGCAGTACCTCGTAATCCGGCTTACACGAACAAACCCATCGAGCCAACACACTTCCATTGGAACGTCTGCAATCGAAACAAGAACAACCAGATGCTGCCTTCCTCGTCCGATTGCGACCGTCAACCAGCCGCTGCTACCTGTCAGCGGGTTAGTAGCGGTGCACAATGTACTTATTGATTGAATGATTGATTGACTAATTAATTGGTTGATTGATTGATTGATTATTTGGTTGAATAATTTTTAGTTGATTGGTTGACTGATTGACTAACCGACCAATCGACAAACTGACCAACCGACTGGTTGGTCAGTTTGCTGATTAATTGAAAACATGTTTGATTACCCGAAAGCTCAACTAACTTTTTGACTATTAAAATAATTTGTGATTTAATATAAAACATATGTTGTTTATTTGATTTGTTGAGCAACCAAATGATCAAATTTAAAAAATTAAATCAAGACTATAACAAAAATAAATTAATCACATACAATTGTTCAGTTAGTTTTATAGCCTTCGTTATTTGTACTATTCCATTGAATGAATTCTGAAAGAACGAGTGTAAAAATTAATGCTCGATTGTGTGTAGCAACTCTCTTGGCTGATTGGTTAGATAACACGTTCACAATAAAAATTTATTGAAGAAACATTTGGTTGATCGGTGATATAATATGAGATAATAACTTTTTTATACAACGTCATTGCCATGCTGTCGACTGGCAGAGAGATTTTAATACAAAACTATGATTAAGTAGGCTTCATGTTTAATGGCCATAAGCTGCACTATCTATGCTTCAATTTTTCAAATTGAAATTTTAAAATCCTAATTTAGAAAAAAATTATTCACCATTTTAAAATTTAAAAGTTTGTTTTCGATATTTTGTTAATTGAAAAGTTGAAATCAAATCTCTTCACGAGAAAATTTTCAACCTCAGTCCAGTGTAAAGGACCCTACCAAGAACAAGTTGGCTATAATGGACAACCCTTTCATCTGCCGAACGCCAAGTACCGCTACCATAGATTTGCAAGGTGGTTATTCATTCAGACACCACACCATCGTACGGTGCAGTGGTGTAGTGGTTACGATTGTCTGACACTGACGTTGCAGCAACCTGGTTTGAATGCAAGGTCATCCCAGACTATCACATGCAATGCGTGTGGTGATTCGTTGATTTGCAAATATTTACATTCGATGGGTGTTTTGATGTTGATGCGTCTGTACGAGTTGCTGTTACGAAATGCTTATTTTATTTTCTAATTCTTCTTTTTTAAGGATTTTATTTTTTTTAACTTGTTGGTGACGTGATAATAGCGTGAATTTGATTCTTAATTCTTTTTATAAATAATTTATATTGACGAAGATTGGTTATAAAATTATTTTTTTTTCTTCCAACTACTAAAAATATTTTATCATAATTTTTTATTAAATTTAAAAAATAGACCGTTAACAATTTACTAGTAAACATTTTGCATAAACTCCCCCCAAACTTCAGACGTACTAGTTTTGAAAGACTTAATAAGAAATGCTTCTAACAAACGGAGATGTTAGTCAAATAATTTCAAATTATCTTTTATAATAATTATTATTGCTTATAAATAAAAATATTTTATGCCAACTGATTGATATTTCTTGCTCCTCTTACTATTGGTGTATAGTTAAAGAGTTCGGTTCGACTATCACATTTTTGGATATTCACATATGCCTATTGTTCACACCTATAAGAGTAATTTGGAAAAGAACTGTTTTTACTAATAAAAATAAATTATGATAATTTATTGAAAATCTATCCTAGTTTATACAAATAAACAGTAATTTATACAAAATAAAGAGTAATTCAGAAAAGAACTGTTTTTACTAATAAAAATAAATTAATTTATTGAAAATCTATCTTAGTTTATACAAAATAAACACATTTTAATGAGATTTTGTAAAATATGTGAACAGAAAAACACGAAAGTGTATCGGTACGTAAGCTGCAGTTTAGTCCTGTTATCTTCCCTTTATTTACATTTCTGCTGTAACTGCACTAATGTTTTTGGTACCTAACATCGCCATTTATATTACTACTACTTCTACTACTTCTACTACTACTACATTTATATTACTACTACTTCTACTAACCCTACTAATAATAATAATAATACCACTACAACTACTAATTCTACTATTGCTACTACTACTGCTACTACAACTCATAATGCTATTACTGCTACTAATATTACTAATACTAGTACTACTACTACTATTATATATACTATATTATTATATACTACTACTACTCCTACTCAATTCAATTCTAAAAGATTTTTGTTTGAAAGAAGCTGGAGACCCGAAGCTTAACTTGTTGGGCCACCATCAACTACCACTACAACTGCTGCTACTAATACAGCTCTCAATAATACTACTTGTCTTCTCTCTATTCTTATTATAACTACTAATACTGCTACTGCAATTACTACTTGTACTATGGCTGGCATCATTACTACTGTTACTTCTGTTTTGGTTCCTTTCAATTGGAGCTATTTGAAGTAAACCTTTTAGCACATTTAGAAAATCACTTAGCACATTTTCACATTATTTTTGTTCATACTGCTTCTTTGATAGCTAAGTTTTATTTATTTTCTTTCTTTCGTTCTTTCTGCTTTTTTATTCCCTTCATTTCATCTTTCTCACTTGATCTCTTACTCCTCTCTATCCAAAACTTTTTATCTCACTTGATTTTCTCTTTCATTGCACTCTTAAAATTCTGTTATTGTTTTCTTTTTTTTCCCGATCTATCTACTAATCTAGCTATTTATTTACTTTCTCTCTCTCTCTCTCTTCTTTCATTTTAGTTTTCTGCCGTCTCTCATTCCCTCTATTTTATTACCTTTCATCTGTTTGAAGATAATTAGGAAGAGGTTTCAAAAATCAATGAGAAACCAACACGTGTTTCATCTCAATGAACGAGATGCTGTTTAAAGTCATCTAACAATATGTTTCGTGTCACAATGTCATTCCATACCTTACTCTTCAGCTTTATGTTTGCCTGTCTGTCAAGTTTATGTTTTTTTACAATGTGATTCGCGTTTGTTTGTGTTTCAGATGTATTTTTTATTGTCAGATGTTGATATTTGGTTTACTTATGTCTTTGAGTGTCTTTATTGTATTCCAAAGTATTATAGGGCATAAAATTGTATATATATGTAAGTTCTTGTGAGTAATTTTGCAAAAAAAGTTGCGAATTACAGTAATTTTTTATGATTACAGAACTTCTTGAAATAAAATGAGAAAATTATATGAAAATGATCACAATTATTCCTTTATAATTATCTAGAAAAAAGTCACAATTATTTCTCTATAATCATTTATGATGATTGTTAGCAATAACGTTTCCACAAAGTTTTTAATCTTTTTTGGCACATGTGGAATGTTCCCATCAAAGTAAATAAAAGTAAATCAATTTATGAGATTTTTTATGAAATTTTTTTATTCATCAGTTCAAATGTTTCGATGTAATTTGTTTTTAAATAAGAAAATTACAATGGAAAAACTGATGAAGTTTAAAAATGGATAGTTTTAGAATCGAAAGATAAAAATTATCAATTTTTGAGCGTAACTGAGAACTCTTATAAACTTAAAAAAAAATTTTTCATGTCTGTAATTTTTTTTCATCTATAACCAAAAACTCAAATTTAACTTATTGATTTAGTTAAAACTGTTATCCAATTACGCAAATTGTTTACTATTTCAATAAATTTACTCACCTTTCCATTAATTAAAAAACCAAATCTAAAATTTCAATTTTTTTTATTCGAAAAGGAATACTCAAACTATTATGTAGGACCTTTAATTAATTATCTAACTAATCAGTTAACAAGTTTATCTAATTAATCAGTTAATTAATTAATTAGCGAATTGTTAACTGAACGAATTTGGAAATAATATTTTCAATGTTTTACGTGAAATCTTACCACTCAGTGGCCAGTTGGTTAGGTTACGAGCCAGGAATGAAGAAGAAAGAATTTTTGAAAGAGAAGTGCATGCAGTTGTTATTTGGTTGGGAATGCCATCCGCTCTGGTATAAAGTTGCTCATATCACAGAACTCTTCATCATGGATGCTTTTGTGGACCTCTTTATAACTCTCTGTATCGTTGTTAATACCGTCTTTATGGCTATGGAACATGCCAACATGCACGATACCCTTGTTAAAGTTCTCTCTTATGGAAATTATGTTAGTGGCTTCTATTCCGAAGTGTTGCTTTCAATTGTATATCCAAAAAAGAGTCATCGTTACTTTTTATTGCAATTGCAATTTTTAAAGATGGTGATTTCATTTTGTTTAGTCATATTTCGAACGGCTGATTTTGTACTTGTTGAAAATGAGCAAACGATTTTTTTTTTTTCAGATTTACTCACATTTTTTTGTGTCACGTTATGTTATTTTCCTAATTAAAAGATATTTTCAAACATTTTGTCAAATTTTTCAGAGAAATACCAATCTGTCATGCGTTCTATAATTCTGAATAATACAATAATTATCATACTTTCGTGACAAACGTTTGTCCAATTAAATATAAAAATGTTCGAAAATGATCACATAAAATCATTTATTCTGACTGCTAGCATTAACATTTCCACAAAATTTTCTCTATAATTTAGAAACAAAGTTTGACAATGCATGTAAGATAACTTTTAACATCTCAAATGCAATTGTAAGCAATGCCATCTCAAGGTATTCACGGGCATTTTCACTGTGGAAGCGGCACTGAAGATCCTAGCCCTCGGTCTTTACAAGTACCTGCAAGATAAATGGAGTTGTTTCGACTTCGTCATCGTCATTTTGAGCCTGGTGGAGATGGGCTTGGAGAAAGTTAAAGGACTTTCTATATTGAGATCTTTCAGATTGGTCAGCAGTTTTTTTCAACTTGAAAATTGTTCTAATTTTTTTTAAATATTTGTAAAAAAAATTTTATTGGAAATTTGAAAGTTGACTTATCTAGATGGAACCTTCGTCAACAATTTTTATTTAAAAAAGGCGTCTCATTAATTCATTCATAAATAGTCCAAAAATTGTAATTAAAATTACTAAGCAGATTAGTTTGATAAATAAACAAAGATACAACGAGCAGATGAAATGTAAAATAACGTATAATACAAACGAATCAACTGAATCGTACTTCATTGCAGCTACGAGTCTTTAAACTAGCAAAGTCCTGGCCCACCCTAAACCTCCTAATCGGCATCATAGGTAGGACCATGGGTGCCCTAGGGAACCTTTGCTTCGTGTTGGCCATCATCATCTTCATCTTCGCTGTCATGGGGATGCAGTTGTTTGGTGCCTACTACACTGATGACAAGTTCCCCTTTGAGGTTGGCGAGAACCGCGAGTTGAGGTGGCACTTTAAAGATTTCTTCCACTCTTTCATGATCGTCTTCAGGTTTTTTTTTTATTTATTTACTCAGTTTTATATTAGTTTTTGAAACATAATTATTTGATCTAAATAATTTTCAAAACTCGAATAAATTTTATTTCAACATTTAAATCCTCGACAGAATACTGTGCGGAGAATGGATAGAGAATATGTGGAACTGCTTGCGAACCTATGGAAAGCCGTGCATTCCTTTCTTCCTGCTGACGATGATCGTTGGCAACCTTGTGGTGCGTATGTTTCGCTAGATGGCTTGGAAAATGTGTGTCGCACAAACTTGAAGATAATTTTTTTTTATAATTTTTTATGAAAAAAATATGAAAAAATCATCGTGCACGTTTAGGTGCACACAATTATTGTATGTTTATTGTATTTGTTCATGATTTTTTAGGTGTTGAATTTGTTTCTTGCTTTGCTTTTGAGCTCATTTGGTGCAGAAAGTTTGAAACACTCACAAGAAGAGGAAGGTGATTTGGGTGATTTGGCGTTTTCAATCATTTTTTCTTAAATTTTATAAGCTTACAGAATCCATTTGGATTGTTATTACAGTGAACATTAAATTTTTTCTCTCACACCTGCAACGCCAGACAATAAAATAAATTTAACGCATGTACGAACGCAGGTCCGAACAAGTTGCAGGAGGCGGTCGACCGCATCAACCGATTCGCGATCTACATCAAATCGCACATCACCTACTGCGTCAAAGTCAAAGTGAGACACAAACAAATCGCAAACGACTACTTCTTCGACGAACGCACCAACTACATCGGCCAACATGACGCCAACCGACACGGCAACAACAACATGTGTGTGAACAACAACGACAGCAGCAGCAACACAAACAACAACATTAACGACAACAACAGCAACAGAGGTGTGGTCATCGTCAACGCAACTCCAATAGGCAATGGCAGGATCGTGAATGCTGAAGGCGATTATGAACTGAACAACGATGATGATGACCTCTCAAGAGCTTACAACAAAAGCAACCACAGCAAACGCAGCAGTGTCAACAACAACAACAACAACAACAACAACGGTCAGTCAGTGCAGAAGAAGTTTCATTCAAACAGTTTCAATTTTATTCGGCTCTAATAATTCTCCATTTTTTCATTCTTCATTTGCATAAGAATTGAAGTGAAACAAAAGTATTTATATCGTGACTCCAATTGGTTAGGTATTGCTACCAAATTTTTGTGGCGTAAGGTGGGGAATCATTAATAATCATTTATTTTTCACACATCAAGAAATTAAAAAATTTTTTGCACAAACTATAATACAAAAATATTCACATTAACAGTTTAGTGTTTCAATTTTTTGTAACATTTCAATCATTGCGCCACTAACAACGCTGGAACAATGTCGCCAACAGAGTACACACTGAAAATAGTCAAAGGCTCGTCAAATAAATCGCCTCACATCGGCTACTTGCCTGTCTATTCATACGGTTCGTGTTGCTGGTTGCATTGTTATAGCTTTACAATTATGTTGTTGGTTGTAGGGTGATTGCTGCTATTTGAAGTTTGCCTGTCGTTGTTATGATGCTCTTTTTGGTTTTATTAGTTGCACCAATGTTTGAATTATCGCTATAAAAAAAAGTTAATGTCAGTTGATATTTTTACAGTTTTTATGTAAATTTGTGTAGCTATATAGCAATTACAGTGTTAATATAATATTTTGTTTAATATAATTTGTTGCATGCAAACTACAAATTTATCACCTCGACAGATACCTACAATTACGACGTGGAGAAGGTAACGTTAGAAATTTTAAAATAATAATTCCATCGCCATAGTAACTTAGTTTTTAACAACTTGTGCTTAATTTTATCTCCGTTGTAAGTGAGTATAGTAGTTACTAAACTAACAAGACAAACAAAATAAAAAAATAGTCACTCTTCTACTCATGCTAGACTGAGAAAACGCATTTGAACTGCGGGCTGAGTGTACTGTCGGAGCCATCCACAATGAAACTGAGCAAAACAAGCAGTCACAACAGCCACTTCACGCACTTCTCGTCGCCCGCGCAATCATCGGCGTCAACTAAGGATAGTGCTCAGAGTCCAGTGGAAAGTATCATGTCCACCACTGATACAGAGTTTACATTTTCGCATGATGATACTCTAAGTAGAGGTTATTGCTGTTTGTTTATTGTAAAATCAAGGAATGTATCAGAGTTATGTTTTTGAGCTCATTAAATATTTTTTATAAATTATTATTGTGGACAGATGTGCCGCGTACAACTGGCGGTCCAGAAATAAACGAGGTGAAGGTGGTCTTCGTGAAGTATCCAGACGATTGCTGCCCGCGACTCTGCATGGAAAAATGTTCCTTCTGGGACCTGCTGGAGAACACGCTGTTTGGAAAAGTTTACTGGAAGTTTCGCTGTTACATGTTCTCACTGGTTGAAAATAATTACTTCGAAACATTCATCATACTCATGATTCTGGCAAGCAGTCTTGCTTTGGTGAGCAACTAACTCATTTATGCCAAATTTGTTAACTTGTTCGAAATTGTTAGCTTGGAACATGAAACCAACGCTTGAGACATTAAACAACCAACCAACAAACCAACCATTCAGCCAATTATCTAACCATCCAACTAACAATCCAACCAACCATCCAACTAACCAACCAACCAACCAACCAACCAAACATCCAACCAACCAACCAACCAACCATCCAGCCAACCAACCAACCAACCAGCTAAACTTCAAACCCACCTACTAGGCGATCGAAGACAAAAACATCGATACGAAACCGCTACTGAAGCACGTGCTGAAGGTCATGGATAGTGTCTTCACCGTCATCTTCGTCTTCGAGATGATTGTCAAGATGGCAGCCTACGGACTGAAGAAGTACTTCACGGACGCCTGGTGCTGGCTCGATTTCATCATTGTTGCGGTTAGTTGTAATATTTTTCTGTAATTTTTTATATAGAAAATATTTGGATCCATTTATTCAAATACTGTTTTTCGTTCATTGTTGTCGGCGAAATCGACTGAAATAAAATATGGATTTGTTTTTCTACAAAGCGGAAAATAATAGACTAAACAAATTTACAAACAGATATCGTTAGTGGGTTGGTTCGCAGAGGGGGCAGGTGCGGGCAATATGGGAGCGTTCCGGGCACTGAGGACGCTGAGGGCACTACGACCCCTAAGAGCTGTTTCCCGATGGGAGGGAATGAAGGTAAAATGTTTGTATTAATTCAGTTGTTCTGCATTGAATCAACATAAGGCAAACTCTTCATTGGGGAAATGTTTTTATTTCAAATGCAGATCGATCAAAATGCCGTCTGTGTATTTTCATTCAAAATATTTCAAAACTACCGGGAATACAATTTGTTTGAAATTTCAGTCGCGCGTTTTAAAGCAGGCTGTTCAATTTTATACTTTTTAAACAACAATTGAAGATGGTCTAGTCATTAGTTATTAATAATTTTATCTTTTTTGTTTGCTGTTTTAGTTGGTTTATCGATCCAAACTTATTCCAATCATTCTGCAAGTACTTCTGCAAACTTGTTTCAACATTTTCATCAGATTGAAAAAATATTCTCACCTAATTCAGTTTATTTGAAAAAATTCGAATTAAATTGAAATGAAACGTCATTCATCATTAAGACTTGATCATTTAAATGACAAAAAAATAATCTAATTAGTTCAGCGAAAGATGTCAGCCACGCCTAGGTCCTACACGGTTTTCACTTAACATACATGGTTTTCGCCTAACATAACAGGTTGTAGTGAACGCTCTCATACAAGCCATTCCAGCCATCTTCAACGTGTTGCTGGTCTGCTTGGTCTTCTGGCTTATTTTCAGCATTATGGGAGTCAATCTTTTCATGGGCAGATTTGGAAGATGTCTGGACGAGGAAGGCGAAATGATCAAGATTGTATTTGAATCCGGGCACTACGTCATTCAAGGAACAAACGATACCCTGACGAGAGAACTCTGCAAGAAGAATTTCTCGGTCACTCGCAATTATACTTGGTTCAACCCTAAGGTAAATTTCGACAATGTCCTCATTGGGTATCTTTCCTTGTTTCAAATAGCCACATTCAAAGGATGGATGGATATCATGTATGCTGCAATTGATAGTCGAGAGGTGATTGGTAGCATATTTTTTTGTACTTTGAATCAATTTTTATTTTTATATAATTTTATTATTTTGTTAACAATTACAATATAAAACTAGTTTTTAGGCACGTGCATATGTATATATTTATTGAAATGTATAAATTTTATTCAGTTTATTAGGCTAACGCATTAGTTTAGATATGGGCTTATCATTTTGTTGCACTATTTAACATTTTGTATTGAAAATCATATTTAAAAATTATATTTTTCTGAGACGTAAATATTTCCATAATTCATAGTACTGTATTGAAACAGTAAAATTTGCTACTCGACAGCCTACCGAACAGCCATTGTTCGAAGATAGAGTCGGTGTCTATCTCTATTTCGTTCTCTTCATCGTCTTTGGGGCTTTTTTCACACTCAACTTATTTATCGGTGTCATCATCGAAAATTTCAACATGCAGAAGAAAAAAGTTTGTTTATTTGAAAAAAGAAAATCTTAAAAATATGAATTTATGAAATGCATTCGATAATTTTTAGTATTTTCGTTTAAATACTTGTTTAAGCTCATATAATTTATTAAATAAAAATTTTATTTTTAAATGAAAAATTTAAATAATTAAAAATCCACAAAAGGCTGGCGGTTCGATGGAGATGCTGATGACTGAAGATCAGAAAAAGTATTACAACGCCATGAAAAAACTCGGAAGCAAGCAGCCGACCAAACCAATCCCTAAGCCTAAAGTTATTTACTTTACTTAGATATTTTAAAAATATTATCTCTTCAGTTTGTTTTAATTTATTATATGTGATCATTAATGCTTATTTTCTTTAAAATGTTACTCATGGTTTATAACATGCCTCTCACACAAACCTGTATAAGCCTTGTCAACACATTAAAATGTTTTAAAATTGGCTATAAAATTTGGAGTAACTTTGTAAATTATTCAATAATAAATTAATGAAAACTTTCAAAACTTACTTTCCCCTCCCAACTCAGCTAACATGCCAGTTATTTTTTTTCAACCTGACGAAGAATCAAAAATTCGACGTAGCCATCATGGTGGTCATCCTCTTAAATATGACTACGATGGGTCTCGAGCACTACGACCAGCCAAAGGCCATGGAGATAACTCTAAACTACATCAACACCGTCTTCATCGTCATATTCACGCTTGAATGCGTCATGAAGCTCTTAGGCCTAAGGTCTGCCGATGCATTGGAAATTATCTTTCAAGATGAGCTTTTTGATGTTGATTTTGTGTGCAGTTTTTTTTTGTATGTGAACCTTTACTGTTTATATATTTATTTTGTTGTTTTGTTAGGAAGCTTATAAATGATTTTGCAACTGTTAAAAGATTTCAACGATTTTTTAACTGGAAATTATTAGAATTGCTGTAAGACTTTGATTAACATTTTACAATTATAATGTATTCAATAGAATAAAGTATACAATTCAAAGTTTACGTTTTTTAATTAAAATGTTTGTTTCTACATTGAAAAAAGGTTCTACTACTTCAAGGAGCCCTGGAACATATTCGATTTTGTTGTTGTCATCACTTCTATTTTAGGTGAAGTTGTCGTTTGAAAAACAGATTATTTCTCAACTTCTGTTCTTAACGCGTATTTTTAAAATGTTAAATATTTTCAGCACAATTTCGTAAAAATTAATTTTGGTAATAAACAAAAAATTGTGAAAACACCGTTTTATTGAAAATTTGTGAATATTTATGATTAAATTCTCTAACTACAGCGATGGCTCTCAGCAGCGTTTTAAACAAGCTTCCAGTGTCACCAACGATGTTGAGGGTGGTTAGGGTTTTCAGAGTTGGAAGAGTTCTTCGGCTGGTCAAGTCAGCAAAAGGAATTCGAACGTTGTTGTTCTCTCTGGCGGTCTCCATGCCAGCCCTCTTCAACATCGGACTTCTCCTATTCCTAGTCATGTTCATCTACGCCATCGTCGGCATGAGTTCGTTCATGCACGTGAAACACTCAGCTGGAATTGACGACATGTTCAACTTTGAGACTTTCTTCAACAGTATGATCATCCTCTTTCAGATTTGTACATCGGCAGGCTGGGATGGAGTGCTGGCTGGCTTGATGAACGACACGCCTCCAGATTGCGACGATAAACCAACGGAATCCAGTCCGAACGGAGATTGTGGGAACAGTGCGCTCGGCATGATGTTTCTTGTGACGTATTTAGTCATAACATTCTTGGTCATCATCAACATGTACATCGCTGTGATTCTTGAAAATTTTTCACAAGCCACCGAAGATGTACAGCAGGGACTGACCCAGGACGATTTTGACATGTACTACGAGCTCTGGGAGAGGTTCGACGAGAACGCCACTCAGTACATCCCTCTGGATCGCTTGTGCGAATTCGTTGATACGCTGGAAGACCCACTGCGACTGCCTGCACCCAACCTCTACAAACTTGTCTCTATGGATATCCCCATCTGCGAAAATGATATGGTAGCAAATTTGTTGGATGCATTGAAATTATTCAACTAACTAGTTAAATTTTAAACTTTTTGATCATTGCACTGAAAAAATTCGCTCCATTTACAAAATAATTTCACTATTTTAGTTTTTTATTACAACAACGAAACAAAACTTTCAGGTTCACTGCATCGACATATTGGACGCTCTAACGAAAAATTTTCTCGGGACTGCCAACGAAGACACAGGTGAGTTAGGCGACTTGAAAGGACCCGAGAAGAAGGACTACCACCCAATCAGCACCACACTGAAACGACAACGAGAAATGTGCGTGGCCAGAATAATTCAAAAGTCCTGGCGCAACTACGTTAACAAGAAAAGATTGGAGCATGCAAAAGAAGATTTGTACCAATTAGACAAAGTTTCATTAGAGTCGTACAACTCAAGATTCACATCGGGCAGCAAACTTTCAATATTAGAAGCCAACTCATCAAACGGAGTTAATGTAATAAAAACAGAACTGACCACGGACATGGATGAAAACGTCAGAAACATATTCAGCGACACAAGCAGCGGCAGCGGTAGCGTCTCTAGCTACAATGGAAGAAAAACAAAACAGGAAAAAAGTGACGAAGATAACAAAAAGCTGCTCATATCTTTTTCAACGGTTTCCGATTCTGACAGTTAGTCCTCGCGTGCGTCCGCAGGCCACACTCATTTGCGCAACTTATAATGCTTTTCTAATTTTTTATGGTAATGTTTTTTGTGTGATTTTTTCCTCAAGCGTTTTTTGACTATATTTTACCATGTTTTTCCGTAACGGGCAGTGATGATTTCAGACATAACAATTCTTGATCTCAATTTTTTTGTCAATGATTATTAGATTGTAAATACATAATTCGTATAACGTATATATGTACATATATAAATAAATAAATAAATGAATAAATTTTTATTTATTAATTTAATAATTTTCATATTGTTCACTTGTGTTATGTATGGTAATAATGTACAATAATAAAGAGCACACATACAATTATTGTTAGGAGAGCATTGATGTCTAAGTATGCATACAGTCGTTTATATGTATGTGAAAATAAATTTACATAAATAAGTTAATTTGTTTACTTACTTGAACATAATATATATAATTCATTCATTCATAATGTTTTTGTATTACAATTTAAAATTATTCTTTACATAATTATTACTCCAAATAATATTGACAAGATAAATTTTTAATGATGGCATTTGATTGATGACGATAATGAGCATGTTGATTTAATAGGCGGGACGGTGGCACAATGGTTAAAGGCGCCTGGTTCTTCTTTGCAGTGACTGGGTTCAAACGCATGAAAATTCCTACCTGTCATATGCAATGTTTGTCTGTGGGTGAGTGCGTGTGTCTGTGTGTGTATTTATTGTTGATACTCATGAATCAAATATAGTAAGAAAAAATTACCTTTAACCTTTAATGATGACGATGGAATAGTGATGAGGTCTATCCGAATATCATTTATATCAAGTTTGGGACCATGTTAAAGATGCTATCATTGTTTCGACCAATATAATTATTTCATTATTCTTACGTTATTATTATAACAAGTATTAATTTTAACATAATAATAATAATATCAATAATAAATTTTTTGTCTTTGTTTTTAATTTTGTGATTTTTATTATATGGAATTTTTTAACGAGACCATTTACAAAGTAATTGGAAGAAGGACCATAGATATACTAATTAATCAATTAGTTTATAGATTATACTAATTAATCAATTAGTTAATTAATTAATTGGTTTCATTTTTAGTTTTTAATTCAATTTTGAATCAATTATTAATCATATTATTTGAATAATAATGATTAGCCATAAAAATTTGGTAGCAGTACCTAACCAACCATGATAACGTTTCGCTCAATACATATATACATTTGCTATATTTCAATTCTTATGCAATAATTGGTTTTCATCTGTTATTTTATTTCGATTTTATAATAAAATTAAACAAAATTACTGTTCAATTTATTTATAATTATTACAAAATATTTGAATGTGATTATTTGTCAATTTAAAAAAATATTATCTTCAATTATTCGTCTCACACAAGCACATATAACCTCAAATTTCATTTTTTTCCTGTTATAACCACTCATTTTATTTCCAATTGATTATGTTTTTAATTAATAACAATTATTATTAATGCTATCCTTTTTATTATGATTATTATTGGTAAGAATTGGCTGGTTCTTTTAACGAATCAATGTAACATCCCAACAATTATTGTTTTTATTATTTATTATAACTATTTATTATTATTATTATTATTATTTATTTATGATGTTGTATGTTTGTTTTTTTTTATTTTTATATGAAAGTCACGTAAAAAAGGTCAGAACGTTAAATGAAAAATAGATTTTTTTTTCAATATGGATTTTTTTTTCGTTTTCAAAGATTCGATTTCAATTAAATTTCATTACATTTACCTGATTTGGTCCATTAAATCATTTATTATTTTTTGTTAACATATTTTTTATACAATTTATCTCATTCACTAACTCAGTTATTCATTCAATTTCTTAATTCGTCAAAAGTTTCATCAACAACAAATTAGAAAATTATTCCCGATTGGTTAACGAAAGTGGTTAGTTTCATTCACCTAACAGCAAGAAGTCTGACTAGCTATTTGACACAACTTCAAATTCACAACCAAAATAAATTTGTACAACATAAACAAATACACACTCGTCAATACAAAACTCTACAATTAAACGTGTATACACAAACACGCACATAATTAAGTGTTCACACATACGTAACTAACACATACGTCAGACACACAAAACAAACACATACATACACACCTCCCACAAAAATACCACACGCAACACGCAAATCTGAGTTTTAAAATAAATTACTTGTCCATATACATATATAGATACAAACACGCATAGATGTAAAAATACAGCTTGTTTGCACATACACATTAAACGCTTATACACCGATATACGTACGCTTACACGGCTAAGAATTATACACACACACACATACATGCTAACACACACATACAAACAAACAAACACTCACATACTCACACATACTCGTGATATAAATGCACCTATATATGCATAAGTTGCTTTCTTGCGTTCGTTTTACATTAACTTATGTAACATGATGATTTTTTTTCGTCTGGTGATTTAATAAGCTGTCCAGAACAATAAAGTCAATAATAATAATAAAAGACAATAATAAAAATAATAATAGAATAACGAATAATAATAATGATAATAATAGAAATGATATTTGTTGTTGTCGTTATTGTATTTTTTTCTAATTTTCTGTCCGGTTTTTTATTCGTAACATTCATTATTATTATTACTATTGTTGTTTGTTCATATATATATATATATATATATATATATATATATATATATATATATATATATATATATATATATATATATATATATATACATAATATCGCGCCTCTTACAATATTCGTTGTTAATTAATAATTGTTAATTTAATTAAAATTTTGATTTTTGAAAAAAAATTAAGAGAGAGAGAGAGAAAAATACATCAGCTGAAAAAAAAAACAAAAAAATCTTTTCTGTTACGTTGGCCATTTGTTGTGTCTTATTTTTCTCAACGCGCGAGTTTTTCATTTTTTCCAACAATTTTTTTCTCTTTTGTATTTTTTTCGTTTTTCTTCCTATTTTTTTCGACTCTCTCAATTTTAAATGTAATATGAATTTCACTTGTTAATACAGTTGCTGTTGTTGCTGTTGACGTGTTGTTGTGTTTTGCATAGCGACTACTAAACGATTGCTTTTGTAGTGTTTTGTCGTCGTTGTCGCCCTTGTCGTTGTGGCTGGCTTATCGGTGAATTTTTTTCACTTAGAAAGTTTCAACTTATTAATCTTGATCTGTCATCAGAAGCTGCTAGCGAGGCACTCCCTCAAACAGATATTGATGACTATAACGCTGGGCACCTGTGACTGGTGTATTTTATAATCAGTTGGGGAGCTGTCCATATTTTTAACTAAATTTTTTACGTTCTAAAGAATCTGCATGACAAACTTTCTCAACTATATGTATGTAATTTGATTGGTTGGTTTAACCATTTGATTGGTTTTGCCATTTGGTTGGTTACATCATTTCATTGATTTATGAAAATAAAGTAAAAATAAACTGTTCATATATTTTTATAGAATTTATATATCTAAACATACTATACATATACATACATACATTTCATCTATATATATATATATATATATATATATATATATATATATATATATATATATATATATGAAAATCACAGCATGTTCCACATTAATTAACTTCCTGTTTGATTTTTCGATTTTCCAACGCCACACACAAACGTGTTTTGCACTTAGTACAATATGGCACTTCTACGTAAAACTGTCACTTGGCACAAAGTTGAAGATCGCAATAACCAATTAAATGACCGTTAAGTGGTTACAGCGAACAAACAAAAAATTAACATTTTAGAGACACAGAATATATATATATATTTGTTCATCTGGCCACATACACAACATATCTATTCGAAGACGGATGATGGTATAGGAATGCCGAAAAAAGCTTTTTTGTTCTATCATGCTTAAATGTTTTGTCGTGCTTAAAATTAAAAATTTTGGTTTTGAACTCAAGAAACCTGATAATAATTTACGAACTACCTTTGGAAAAATCGAAAAATTAAACAGGAAGCCAACCAACGCGGAACATGCTGTGATTTTATTAGGTAGATGTTTTTTTTGTTCAGGTGCATTTGGTTTATATAAAATAACTTAATAGTTGATTTGGCAGGAGTTTGATTAGGAGGCGTGTTATTGTGAATCTTACAGTACGATAATGGCATCTCTGATAATTAACAATTACCTACTTCTTAACAATTCAATTCAGTTCAAAAGTTTTTCATTTGTCTGAAACAGAAGCAGGAGACCCGACGTTCAACTTGATAAACTGAACTAGTATAACAATAATTATCCTAGCCGTATCGCCGATCAAGTTTTCACAAATTAAACAAAGAAACACTGTAATTTTATATGAACCGAATGCACCTGAAATAAAAAACTGAAGAACGAGTCGTTCAAAATGTTATCAGAGATAATATTCATGCATGCAATAATAATTAAATTCAACCACATCCAAGCTACTGGAATTTGAAAAGATCACAACTTATCGTTAAAAACAACTACGCCACAAAAAGCAAGTGTACAAATGGAAATTTTCACAATTTACTGTGCTATAGAAAAATTTAATATATATATATATATATATATATATATATATATATATATATATATATATATATATATATATATATATATATATATATATATATATATATATATATATATATATATATATATATATATATATATATATATATATATATATATATATATATATATATATATATATATATATATATATATATATACATTTATATACATTTTAAGGCTTTATAACTATGAAACAAATTTCCCATCTAAATGATTAGGATATAGAAAATAATAGTAATACTGATGAATAATTTGTAACTTTATTTTTATTAATATTGTGTTATTGAACAGTAAAGAATTTTCGTTCTGAAATAAGATTTGAACGCGTGTTACTAGTCCAATTTTTTTTTGACTAATTTGTCATAAGCGAGTTTATATTTCTATTGCATTGAAGTTTCTCCTTCGTGTCTGTATGTTATCAGCTAAGCGTCGCGTAACTTACGGTACCGCTCGTTTTATTGTTGTTATATTTTGCTCTGTTTGTTGTTTTTTTTTCTTTGGCATTTTTAAGCTCTTAACAATTTTGTTACAATTATTTGTTCGTCAATATCTCAGAACGTCGAAAAAACTCACAATTTTCCGATTGTTTTTTTGTATAATTTCACACAGATGCACCCATGCGTACAGACAGACACGCGCAGAGACACACACGCACTTGTACATTCGCACACGTACATACGCACTTGTACATACACACCTAAAGACATTCAGACATACTCACAAACACACACACACACTTACATATGTATATACACACGCACATACACACCTAGACACATGACACACACTCTTACTCACACATATGTATTTACATACGCACATACACACCTAAAGACATTCAGACATACAAACACACGCACACTTAAATATGTATATACACACGCACATACACACTTAAACACATGACACACACTCTCACACACTTACATATGTATATACATACGCACCATACACACATAAACCAATATTTACGTATTTTCCACACAAAACTGCGAAAATAATAATCACTGCAGCGCAATAATTCGTTTTATTTTACAAAAAAGTTGAAAATATAGCAGATAAATCAATAAAATTTACTAATATAAATATATTTGTATGGATATGTATTAAAAATATTTATATATGCACACGTTGTTGTATGTTGATGGACGCAATTGTTTGTGTGTGTGTTAGTTTGTATATGTGTAAAGGAGTGTGTGTGTTTGTGTATGTTTAGGTGTGTGTGTGTGCTTATATTTTAATATTCTATCTCGTGATGTTATTTTTGCTTACATTTGACAAAGTTTATACAATAGTCGTTTTCTCATTATTTTAAGATGACTTTATATTATTATTAATAATTAATTGAATAATTATTTGTTGTTTATTTTTAAATAATCTAAATAATTAAATAATTGATTAAGCATATTATTATTAAAAAAAATTGTTTAGTCTTGATGAAAAAAGCGTTGGCTGGATTAATAGTAGTATTATCACTCTATTTTTCATGATTTTTTTGTCTTTGTTTTAATATTATTGATATCATGATATCATGATATATAGATTTATATATGTGTGTATAAGTGTGTATGTGTGTGCCTGTGTGTTTATAGATATATGAGTTGACCTTATATTATTGTTTATTTAAAATAAATATCTAAGAACCTTTTTTTTTACAATTTAATTATAAATAAAAAAAATTCATTTTAGTTTTTTTTTCATAATAATTTATAATATTTTTCGATAATATTAATAATAATTTTGAAAAATGTTTTTTGATCGCATGAAATATTAAAACGGGATAACATTCTCATTATCATTATCCTATCATTCCACGGTCATATATCATTCAGCTTGTATCTATATCCTGTATCTATTATGATATATATAGTACTAAATTTCTACCGTTTAGCTACTATATCATTAGTTCATTTTACGGTTATATGGTTATCTACAATTCTTACTCTATTACTAACATTTACACCACTACTTTGTTAGTATTTTTACAGAGTTTATTTATCTATACTGCTATAGAAAATTTCGCCAAATATTATGTATAATAATAATAATAATAATAATAATAAAGTTTCAGATAAATTTTCCTACTGAACGTCTGATTCTTGTTTTATGGAAATTTGTCAATTGATTTTGATCAATTTTTTTTCATTTAATAAAAATTTTACTTTTTAATTAATGATCTTGATCGTAATCGTTAGTCATTTTTTATTATTGCTATTGTGAATTACTACAACAAAATGATTATTTATCATGTTTTTATTGAAAATATTATGTCATTATGACTCAAATTATAATTATTATTCTTTGTTATTTATTATCAATCTAATAATTGTGGTTCTTTGTTATTATCAATCGTTATATGATTATTATTCTCTGTTATTATCATCCATAATTATTATTTTTTGATTTTATGATTAACTGTTGTTGTTATTATTAATATAGTTTGTCTTTCTTTGTTATCGGGCGAGTTTTAATACGTATATACAATGATATATAATTTTTTTTAAATTCTTATAAAAATGGATTCCAATAAAATTTTTGTTGGTTTGGAGTATCTGATCGTTAATTTTGGCATGTGTTGGACAAGGAATACTTTGCGTTTGAACACGGTCACTACGACATCATGACCAAGCGTCTTAATCAATAGGCTGTCGAATTTTATTATTAGATATATGATATGGCTTCCTGAGCTGAAGTTCCAATGAATGAGGAATATACATAAAACTGAGTATGTTTTATATTAAATATTTTATTAATTACATTGTTATAAAAAAGTCTTGCAATTAAAATGCAACAAAAAATAACTTATAATTAATGTTTTAAAGTAAGATCATTTAAGATATTTTTCTTAAGCAGTTTTGGGTTTGGCAGAGCTTCATTATAAAAAATGAAAATTTTTTTTATCATGTTCCCAAAGAGAGCAGTTGATTCATAGATAAGAAAGAGTGTGTCACCTACGTTAAAAAGTTAGTAAAACTCAGTTTTTTGACAGAAAAAAGCTCCGTTTTATGCGAGATACATGTAGCTACTAGCTACATTTGCTGTGTTGTTGGTTGCTCTGAATAGGCTAATGAAGAAACAACTTTGCGTGCGTGTGTGTTTGTGTGTGTATAAATAATTGTATCAATGTATACATTTAAAAACACATGTAGAATAAATATAGATTTGTGGCGTACATGAATACTTATTGCAGTAGTTACATGGCTTTGTAAATGGAAGGATTTATTGTAGAAATGACTGAACAATGAGGGTACAGGCACAGGCTTTATTCACTTTTCACTTTCACATTCAACTTGATTCAGGTGATTCATTATAGCTCTACAGTCTTAGCTTTGTTTGTCTGACTTCGTGATTTACATCAGCTGTCATTTTAACTTTGGCAAAGAATTTCATTAAATAATTTTTTTTATTCTATCTGCATTTTAAAGTTGTTTATTGAATTGTACCTAAATTTAAACTTAATAAAATAACATAACATGATCAGTAACAAGACATGAATTGATCAGTAGGTAGGGTTGGGACTAAAATTTGCATCCTGGACAAATTCTCATTTGCACCACTCCAATTGTCTAGAATTTGTATTTCAGTGCCTTTTTACGAAAAAAAATACATAAATTCTGTCCTGTGCCTACCCTACTAATCTGGAGATCAAAAAACATTTTTAATAATTTTATGACAGACCATTCAATCTTTCAATTAAATATTTTAAAAAATTAATGTATTTTTGAATTATTTGGAAGTCATGATCATTTTGAAGAAGATACTTTGGCATTTTAATTTAATCTACTCGCATGTTTGAGTTGTGCAAAGTCCATAGAATAAATTTTTTTCGAAATGACTTCAAAATGAATAAATGGTGTACAAAAGGCTTTTACAAGTTTGAACAGCTTCTACTAAGATATTAATAATATAATGGCTGGCTGTCAAGATAAATATCTGAATACAATGACAAATGCTCATCCCAACAATTGTCATGGCTTTTATAGCTTTCTTAAGAACCTAATGGGTGTTTCAACAACAGCTAAATTACTAACTTAAACCTTTTTTAGTTAATTCTTGCAATTTATGTAGACGCGATTTTATATTTGATTACCGATTAATGTTTTCAATGAGTTGATATGAAAAGATTTAATTTTCTGATCATTTGTTTCTGCTTCGTTCATTTGGCGGTTAGTAATTCTTTGATTTCGATGTCATTTTAATTTAAGATAACATAAATTTGTTTGATTTATTTCAACAGGATGCTGGCGTGCGTAAGAGGGTGAGGCAGGCCATTTTGTAGTGTATTTTTGATATAACGGACGTTTAAACTCATGTCTTTAAATGGAATTTTGTTCTTAAATATATTTTAATACTTGTAAAAATTGTTATGAATCAAATAAATGAAAGATTTGAAAAAATTTAGTCTCGAAATAATAGAAACTATTAAAAATTTTGACAGAGTCCGCTAGAAGATTGTAACGTGAGTCTTTTGCAAAAGATCAAAAATCTATTAAAATCATTCTTCATTTTTTATTAATTTTAGAATTTATGAAGCCTAAGAAAAAACTGTGAAAAATTTTAAATTTTACAAGAGTCACGAGGTCTGCCAGTATCCAAGCGGTCGTCCCAAATGCAACTGCCCTGTTGGATCCTGCTCTCTCGTTAACAATAACAGTGAATCCAAGTTATAGACAAACTATTTTTTAGAGGAAGTTTAATTTTTTTAATTAAGATATAAATCAAACAAATTTTGCAGTGATTACAAATGTATCGTCGGTTGTTCTGCCGCCACTTGCATTCATGGAACCTGTTCGGCTGTCGGGAGCAACTACAAATGTGCCTGTGCCACAGGTTTCAAGGGCTCCAATTGTGGAGCAGGTAATAATCATGAATTTGAAAATTGTTTAAATTGAATTCAATTTATCGTTTGAAAAGTAGTGCTGTTGTTAATGAATCAACATGACTCTCTCCAATTTTTGATTTGATTCAACCTGCAAAGTGTGCTCCAAATCTAGCTGATATTTTTGAATCTTTGTAATTTTCTTTCACACTTTAACTATTTTTTTTTATATTTTTAAGCATCGTCATCAACAATCTATGATTTTTTGCGTGCCAAACACTAACTTTGCTAGATTTTTTAGCTACTAAAACACATTTCAATGCATACAACACGATTAGAAGCAAAACATATTAAAAGTCATTGCATGGCATTGAAGTTTATAAAAATACACCAGACATCGACGAATGTGCTATTGGCAACAATCCTTGCAAAAATGGAGGAGTATGCGTTAACACGGTCGGCAGTTATACTTGCCAGTGCAAAAGTGGTTTCACCGGTGCAAATTGTGCTTCAGGTAACTTGTTTTTATAGTTATTCATTATGCCTTATCACATGCAAAAATGTCTTCATTCATTGGAAACTTTTCAAGATATTGATGAATGTGAGACCGGCAATGCGTGTTTGAACGGTGGAAAGTGCATCAACACGATCGGTTCCTTCAACTGCCAATGCAAACGTGGCTACACTGGTTCAACCTGTGCTTCTGGTGATTTTTTAATTTTTTATTGTCAATTGAAAGTTCGAAATATTTCAATTGAAATGCAATTGAAATGTTTTAAAGTTTAAACGTACATTAGTTGTAATGAGGGGGAAAATTATTTTGAAGAATTATTTTTTTAACTCATTCGTCGCGACAAAAGTTCTTGCTAGTTTTTGCGACACATTGATAAACTATTAATTTGACTATGTTTCATTTTCTCTAAAAATGATATTGATTTAATTGTTCAAAGGCAAAAGAGTTGTGTATGTTTGCGCAGATTTGAAAATAATAATTTCAAACATTTTCAGACGTAAATGAATGCATGGCTGGCGCTCTATGTTTAAATGGAGGAACATGCACCAACACCATCGGCAGTTTCACCTGCAACTGTAGAACTGGATACACTGGCGCCTATTGTAGATCGGGTTATTTGCTTCTTCATTGCAACTTTCATCGATTTAATGGCTCTAGAAGGTTAAAGTTTAAAAGTAACATGGCGAAAATCGATCCACCTCTACCCAAATATATTGAACTACCAACAAACAGTATAAAATGCTGTTAAGTGGAACAAATAACTTAATAAAAAAAATTTAAATTCATATATTATTACTTACTTGATAAATATTTATCTTGCTAGATGAGAACGAATGCGAGGACGACAAGAGGTGCGTGAATTCAGATTCCTGTCGAAACACTGATGGCGGTTATTTCTGTGCGTGTGCGCCCGGATACACTGGACCAAATTGTACCACAGGTGGTGTTTGTTTCTCAAAAATTCAAACTCATTCATTGTTTTTTTTTGTTCATTTTGATTTTTTTTTCTTCATTGTTATTCCTCCATTAACATGTTGCCGGTGCCAACTTGGAATACTTAATCATTTTCCATTTACCAATGTTTTTAATATTCATCATTGTGTATATTTGGGCCTTGTGTTTATGTGAAAATATTCATCATTCAGTGTGTGTTTGTGTGTAAATGATTTTTGTAAATTTCATGATTTAAAAAAAATTGATTTATTCTGTTTATAATATTTTTTACGATTTTTGTCACATTTTCAAGATAAAATCTTGTGATCCCGAAATAGTAGTACGCATAGGCGCCGACGCCATGGGGCTTGGAGGGGCTCGAGCCCCCCCAATATTTATTCCCTCGGCCCCGCAACAATGCTGAGCCCCCCAACACTTTGTCATAGAAATTTAATATTTTTGTATATATAATTTTAAATATTTTCTAAACTTTACATACAATTTTCATATTTAGTCCTTGAGATTTGTATACCTTAATTTAAACAAAACAAAAACACAGAATTCAATGACTTTTGGCATGAAGTAACTTTGAAAGCTGCCAAAAATAATAAAGTAGCACCATCATTGGCGTGCGTAAGACGTGCTTCCCAAAAATGGACGAAGGTGGACAATCTTATAAACTCTTTCTTTTAAAATACTTCTTCTGATCCGAAGGAGTATTTCAAAAGATTTTATATTCAAGCCGTGGATCCCGAACTTGAATGTCTGAAAACAAGATTCAAGGTCGAAGGATTTCTTATTGCACAAAACGTTAAAAAATCAGATCTAAGTGCTTTGAATTTGCAGGATCAGGATGTAAAAGTTTCAAAGCTTTTAGAATATTATGGAAATGATACAAATGAAGATCGTCTTACTCTACATCTGAAAATGTTTCGAGACCTCATCTGCCATGGTTGTAGTAATTCAAAAGGAAATCCAAATTATGCAAAATGTTATTGATCTGATGAAATTCAAATCTATGCAAAAAATGTTTTTGGAAATTTTCAATGTTTAGGCCTGATGCTTTTTTTGATATCACCTGTAACAACTTGCACAACAGAGAGAAGTTTCTCGGCCTTAAGCAGTCTAAAAACGTATCTGCGATCCACAATGGGACAGGAGAGGCTGAACCACGTAGAGCAATACTGCATTGCTACCGAACCTTAACTGAGTCAATTTACGTTAAACAATTATGCAATGATTTACGATAAAAAACATTTGCATTGTTTTAATTTCATTTGGATGTTTTATTTCTTTAGTTTCTATATTTATATATGTTTGAAACATATATATATATATATATATATATATATATACATATATATATATATATATTAATATATATATATATATACATATATATATATATATATACATATATATATATATATACATATATATATATATATATATATATATATACATATATATATATACATTTATATATATACAATATACATATATATATATATAACTATAATGAAACGGTATAATCATATGGTATAATATATCATTTGGAGGCCCTGGCCCGGGCCTCCCCAATATCTTGGACAAGTTGGCGCCTCTGGTAGTACGACTGTTTAACATACCGATTGAGTGCAGATATAGATGAATGCAGCGCTGGCACGCCCTGCCTGCATGCTAGCACCTGTCAAAACACAGTCGGAAGTTATACGTGCCAGTGTAAGCCCGGCTACACCATTGGATCAAACTGTGCTGCAGGTCTTTTATTTATTCATTTATTTATGTGAGATAGAGATAGATAGAGATAGATAGAGAAAGAGAAAGGAAATGTAAAATTATGTTGTGTCATTGTTTATAATATATTAATAATTTATGCAAATAATAATATTTATATAATATAATGTTAACATGATAATATGTTGTAATAATTAGGAACGTGTTATAAGAATAATCGTTATGTGATGTTATTATATAATATGTTAGGATACATTATGTTATGTTAATGTGTTGGTTGTTATCAGATATTAATGAATGCCTGAGCAATCCGTGTAGGAATGGAGGTTCCTGTGTTAACACGGATGGCAGTTACTTCTGCCAGTGTACCAGCGGTTATGTAGGGACCAATTGCGAATCGGGTAATTTTTAGTCTTTGTTTCACTTAAAAGAAATTGCAAAATTGTTTGAATTAAAATTAAATCTTTTAATAGGAAATATTTCTGTTTATGATTAAATACAATCCTAAAATAGAGGAAAAATAATTGTATAACTTTTATAATTTCACTAATTTTTCTACAGAACATTTGGCGTATAATTAGATAATATTAGGTGGAACACTTTTAAACTCTTTATCATTTTTATAACTGATTAATTCTTAATTATTTTTCACTTTTCAGTTCAGATATTTTTTAAAACTTTCAAAATCCTAGAAGCACTAACTAACTAACGGGGCACTTACTAAAATAAAAATATGTTAATAGGATAAATTCACTTCAGTATATTTAGCAACACTTTAAAATTAAACAGATAATTTGATTTGATAAAACTTAGACCAAAATCTAAAAACTCTATAAGCACCAAAATTCTATGACTAATTAAATAAAATTTAAACGTAATAGATTAATTAACGTATAGAAATAACCGACAAACATTTGCAATTTATGAAATAATTTGGTAAAACTTGGAAATAATTTTTTCGAAGACATCAATGAGTGTGCAGTAGCCAATCCATGTCTCCACAATGGACAGTGCAACAACATACCTGGCAGCTACGTATGCACGTGTCCAACTGGTTATGAGGGAACCAATTGCGAAACTGGTGTTTCTTCTTCTTCTTATTATTATTTATTTATTTATATTTATTTATTTTTGTTTTAGTGCAGATTGTTATCAATTTTATTTTTCAATAATTTTTTTTCTAGAACTTTTATCGATCATAAATGGAATGAAAATAATTATTAATTTTAAAATAATTTTCAATTATTAATTTTATAATTTTAAATTAATTATTCACCATTCCCGTCATACATACACGCAACAACATTATAGGTGTATAGGTGTTTATGTTGTTAAACAGACAAATTTCTTTTTGTGTGTCTTTGACAATATAGTTTAATCCTGTTTCAAAATCATCTTACATCATAAGTCTCCATTAAAAGACGAATTTCATCTAATTGTCATTACATCACTTCAAACAATTTTCATTATAAAATTCGAACAATTGTGCAGTTAAAATTTTGCAGTAACGGTGAGAAAAAAAACATCTGTGCACGTATATTCAGCATAAAATCTAATAAATTTAAAATAAAACTTAAAAATTTTCTTAGACACCAACGAGTGCCTACAGACACAGGTTTGTAAGAATGGAGGGGTGTGCTTCAACACAGTTGGCAGTTTCAACTGTCAGTGTGATGCAGGTTACACTGGGACCTACTGTGAGAGAGGTTGTCTGTGTTTCTTTTTTAATTTTTGGTAATTTTGTTCAATTATTTCATTAAAAAAGTACAAATGAAATTTTTTTAAATAAATTTCTTTGTATATTTAATTTTATTGTTTTTATAAACATCGGTTTGCAGATAAATGTCTTGCTAACAATACGATCCGCAAATTTATCTTTAGATGTTGATGAGTGTGCGACTGCTGGTCGATGCTTGAACGGGGGCACTTGCAACAACCTATTCGGCCGTTACGAGTGCCACTGCGCTAATGGGTTCGTTGGAAACAACTGCGAGCAAGGTTCTTCTTGTGACCATTTGTCAAAATTTTCAGTTCTGTCTTTTTCAGTGCAGTAGAAAACGATTTGCAGTGAACTGGATAACTAATAACGATGTTGATACCTGGTTTAAAATGCGTTTCCGATAGTCACTTCTGAATGTTTTGCCGGAAATTCTAGCTAATACTTTGTATTTTTTAAACGGTGCTACTTAAAGGCGGAATTATTATATTATTCATGGAAACAGATTCAGTAGTTAATATACAGCATCAATTTAATTTAATTTAATTGCTCAAATTACAAAATTTAAAGTAAATTAAAATGAATATTCATGTACAAGATCGGATTTTGAGATTTGGATGCCCCCAAAGGCGAAAAAAGGGGCAAAATTCAATTTTAAATCTCATATGTACCACTTGGGAGAAGGACTAAACTATTAAAATAAAATGATCTCGTTGTTGCTAATGTCCCCATTATCCAGATTTGGATGAATGCACAGATAGCCATCCATGCGTCCACGCGGTGTTGTGTCAAAATACAATCGGCAGTTATATCTGCCACTGTGTAGATGGATACAACGAAACCAACTGTAATACAGGTTAGAAAGCTATCAACTGCTGTGACTCTCATTAGTCGTGAAATACTGATTAATTTAGTTTTGTCTCTTTGAAATTATCTACTTTGTATATCGTTAAAGTTCACTTCATTAAAATTATCATTAAATTACTGCCTACGCTTATCCAAATTGAAATAATAATTTATTTGCAGCAGCAACTAATTTTAAGCCTATTAAATTTGAATTTTTATGAGAATAAAAAAAATTTCTGTCAGACGTAAACGAATGTGAGGTTAGCAACTTTTGTGAGAACGGAGGATCGTGTACGAATTCAGTTGGCAGTTTCAGATGTCAGTGTCAAGCTGGTTACGAGGGTTCCACCTGCGCTTCTGGTTAGTTCAATTTTCTTCATTTCAGTATTTAATTTTTTCAGCGATATATTTTAAATTCCAATTAATTGCTTGTGAAAAAAAACATTATTGATGAATTTGAAATTATATAAATGCTGGAACTGTCTGCAATTTGAAAAATAAAGTTGTGGCAAATGGAAAGACTGTGGATGTGGGCATATGTCTCAGTGTGTACTACTTACAATCCTCTTTTAATTTGCACTCTATTTAGAAGCAGTTTGAAAATATTACTTGGCTCCTTATTTTTTGTCTGTTAAACATTTAGTGAAAAATCTAACTTACCTGTCAAGATTCTGGAGTATTAGATTATTATTTAAAAATTTAATCACCAAGTATCTTCATAATTCGATGATTAATTTGACCAAAAATATCTTAAGATAAAAAATCGTTGTTGAGATAGCTGATGATATAAATAAGAATACATTTTGCATGATTTTCAGATCTCAACGAATGTCAAGCTGGTTCCCAGTGCAATGGCAGAGGAACATGTTTCAATACATTTGGCAGTTACGTGTGCAACTGTGCGGCAGGTTACAACGGGGCAAATTGTGAATCAGGTAATTTTTTTTAATACCATTCTGTTTTAAAGTTTCATTTTCTCTTTACGTATAATCATTTTGCCAAAATTTAGTCAATTTCTGACAGAAATTTAGAGTGAAAGTTGATAGTCTCCTATCATAAAATATTTTAAACCAAACTAAATAGTATTTCACTTATTAAAAATGTCTCAAAACCATGTTTTGCTTTTGATATTTTTTAACATAAATATCTACAATCCCAAGATGACAAAAAAGACTGTTATTCTTTATCTACAAAAATTTGCCTGGTACATATTCAAGAAATGAGTTAACTTATTATTACCTTTCAGACATTAACGAATGTAAGATCGGTTCGCCCTGTCTCGAAGGAGGAACCTGTGAAAATACAATCGGCAGCTACAAGTGTGTATGTGCCAGCGGTTTCGCTGGTGGAAACTGCGAATCTGGTAACTATGACTTTGTTCATTCATGAAAAAAATTATTTTGTCTAATTGACTTTTGTTTTCAGCGTTTCATTTTGTTAAAACAGGTTGTACACATGATTAATTATCCGTTGCACATTTTATAATGGTTCATCCATTCAGTTATTAAGATTTATTCGAGTTTGCTCTCTTCATTTTCCACATTAATTTTAAAGTTTCAATACATTTTGTACATTAACCCAAAAAAATTTTGTACAAAAATTCTATTTTGTAATCTCGCAAGATTACTTTAATGATTTATTCAACTGAAAACCAAAAATCACAGATGTCGATGAGTGTTTGGACGTTAATTTGTGTAAAAATGGAGCTAAATGTGTGAACAAAGTGGGGGGTTTTGACTGCCAATGTGCCTCTGGTTACGAGGGAAAACTCTGCAATTCCGGTAACTTGTGAATCTCTGTCATCTTCTAATAACTGATACTATATCAAGTCTAATTGTAACACATAATAGTGTTTCCCAAATGTTTACATAACATTTTGTGATTAGATTTCGTCTTGAAATGTACACACTGTATATCAAATGGTTCTTTTCCTTTCAATCCAATTACAATTCCAAATGGTTTTTAAATTAAATTTTTAAGAAAAGCGCGTTAAATGGCATCGAAATTTTGAAAAAAATTTCAAAACTAAATAATTTGTATGCAGATATAAACGAATGTGACATCAATCCCTGTCTTCATAATGGGTTGTGCTTGAACGATCCAGGCAGTTATCATTGTAATTGTTCTGTTGGCTACACTGGAACAAACTGTGAAACAAGCTAGTTTTGCTCTTTTCAGTTTCGGCCTACAAGAATTTATATATATATCCATTATTTTTAAATAATCGTTTCTAGCAAATCACAATGATTCGAAAATTTAATAAAAAATATTGAAACTGACCCAGGAGCTTATTAGTAAAATCAATATTAAATTCTCAGTCGAATTAGAGAATGAACTTTTTCAGTGCTAAAAGAGTTGCTTACAACATTTTGTATTTTGCTTAAACAAGAGTAATAATATTTGTTCAGATATAGACGAATGCAATCCCGTCAATCCATGTCTCCACGGAGGGTTTTGCCAGGATACAGATGGGAGTTACAAGTGCTTCTGTGCAGATGCTTACACCGGAGTCAACTGCCTAGATGGTTATTTCGAAATATATTTTTATCGCCAAAACAACTTTTTATCAATTTTTTTTTAAGTTTTAATAACCTTGTTTTTTTCAAAAATTTCAAACTGTTGACTACTTTCTAACTTTTTTTTGTTATGATCAGATTTAGAAATAAATTTAAAACCAATTATCCAACAGAATTACAAAATCCAAATTTTTGACTTTTCAAATTATTCTTGTCCAAAGAAAACTCGAAACGTCAATTTCACAGACGTGAACGAATGTAGCGATCTGAGTTTGTGCCAGAATAATGCAACGTGCGTCAACACGGTGGGCAGTTACCGCTGCGATTGTAGTCCTGGATTTCAAGGCTCTAACTGCAACACTGGTGAGTTTTAATTTAAGAGTTTATTTTCTATTAAAATTGGATTATAAAAATAATTCACAAACATATCGCTTGAGTTTGTGAAAATTTATACAAGTTAAGCTGTTGGTCACTAAGTTTTATAACTTCATATCTCTTCATTATTCAACGATATTTTAACTGTTTAATACATGAACAACAGTCTATACAACCTCTATTGTAATATAATTCATCCTACACGTAAGTTCATGGATAGTGGTGATCTCTTTGCAAACGAAACAGATTAAAGAAATTAATTATTCGACGCTCGCTTTAAACTTTGACAACATTTTTCAGTGTAGGTGCTGGTGCATCAGTCAAAAAATATTTTATTCTGTTTTGAGATAGGTAAAAATCAATTAACATAAATTAACATAAATTAGCATAAATTTTACATGTATTATGCTATTGTTCTCAGACATCGACGAATGCATAATCGGATCTCCGTGCAACGACAGAGGAATCTGCCTGAACACATTCGGCAGTTACTTGTGCCAATGCGATGTCGGATACGATGGGAACAACTGCGAATTAGGTTGCGATGGTTTGCTCTGACAAACATTAAAATCTTTATTTTTAATTTGGTTTTACCTGGTAAAATATAGAATTTAATTTAAAAAATTATTGGATAATTAAATTCGGCTTCTTATGATTTCACGATTTTGAAATAGATTTTTTATTAGCTTTAAACGGAAACAGCAACAACATGTAATGAAAATAACTTTGGTGGTGATAAATAATAAAACTCTGTAACAGGTAGATAAAATTTTTTGTTGGTTTTGATTGCAGATGTTGACGAATGCCAAGACGTCAATTTGTGCAAAAATGGAGCCACCTGTCTTAACACGGTCGGCAGTTTCAACTGCAAATGTACTGCTAATTTTGAAGGAGCTCTTTGCGCCACTGGTTATTATTCGATATGTTTTAATATTTCGTTTTTATTTTCTTGTGTGAAAATAATTATAAAGTAATCACCGGACACAACGAGTTTATTTAAAAATCAAAAACTCAATATGCATGCGAAAGCGTAAACTGTTGGCCAGACAGAAATTTTAGATTTGTGCATTGAGTTAAAAAGCATTCGCAGTTATACATTGAAAAGAAATTGGTCGAATGCAAATTTGCAGGTAAAAATGTCAAAAATATTAAAAAAGTGTCAAATGATATATATATATATATATATATATATATATATATAACTATTTAATTCATTTGAGTTTGTAGAAATTTTGTAAACTTATAAAAAAAAAACTGTTTTTATTTCAATGTTCTAGACGTTAACGAATGTGAAGATGATCCTATTCCATGTTTCCACGATGGCTTGTGTCAGAACAGCTACGGTAGCTACGAATGTCACTGTGCAGCTGGTTACAATGGCGGCAACTGTGAAGCAGGTGGTGTGATGATTTTTTTGCATTTGGCTATGCCATTCTATACATTAATACTATATTTATTCATACTTAAATTTTCAATAAGTATTTTGAATAAACTATCGTTAGTCGAGTTTATGATAAAATTGTTCAAGTAGGGGCATGAAATCTACAAAGGTCACCGTTTGGCTTGGATACGATATTAAAAAATATTAAACTGACACACCGATCCTTATCAGACATAAACGAATGCCTGGATGAATCAACATGCATTCATGCTGTCTCGTGCGATAACACCGATGGGGGTTACACTTGCCATTGTTTGAGTGGCTTCAGAGGAAAGAATTGTCAAACAGGTAACTAAATTTTTAAATTAAAATTAATTTTGTGAGGATTTTTACAAAATCACTGACTAACGCAGACTTAAATTCTCAATTTAATGTCATAGTGAAAGGTGAAATATCGGTAAATGTCAATAATAACTGTTTTATCGTTTTTTTAGATTAAATCATAAAAACAGAAAACCGTTTTTTACCAAATTTGTTGCCCAAACATGCTAAAAAACTGTCTGTTAATTATTTTAAAGTCAATTCACTTAAGAAGTTTATCACAATAAAAGTACTAAATTAATTTTGGAGAATGTATTTTCCAGACATCGATGAATGCGCTGAACTTTTTCCGTGCCAAAATAATGGAAACTGTCAGAACACAAATGGAAGTTACATCTGTCACTGCTCCTCCAGATTCACTGGATTCAATTGCCAAACAGGTACCATTTTAAGGACTTTGGGTAGTTAGGAGTCAATAAGTAAACTCTTCAATGTTCTATTACTTTCGTTTAAAAGGCTAAATTAAATTTATTATTGTCGATAAATATTTTATGATTTCATAAAACTTTGGTTAGATATTTTTATAAAATGTTTCAGACGTGAACGAGTGTGAGGTTGGTGCACCGTGCAAGAATGCGGGGACATGTAATAATGTATACGGCGGTTTTGATTGCGATTGTAGTGTTGGCTACCAGGGAACAACTTGCGAATCCGGTGCAGTTATACACATTATTGGAGATTGAATTTTGGTTCCGTTTGACTTTTATTTGTATAAATAAACTGCACTTCTATTTTTATAGTCTTTTTAACTGTTTTGCGTTAATTTAAAAGCATACAAGTTGCATAATATAGAGAATAAAATTTCTGTTTTAATTTAATAAGCCTTCAACAAATTCAAAACACGAAATGCAAATTATTTTGAAGACATCAACGAGTGTGATGCTGGAACTCCATGCCTGCACGGTGGTTCCTGCAACAACGTACCTGGTAGCTACTACTGCCTGTGTCCCGCTGAATATACCGGAACCAACTGCCAAACAGGTTTTTTTCATGTTTTTCTCTTTTTTTGATTTGACCAAAAGAAATTTTTCTAATTTTTTTAAACTTTAACTTGCTGTCTGTGAAAAAATGTAATTACTTTTAGCAATTTGTGTGACTTATTTTTTTAACCACTATATAATACGATGCCAAACTAACCACGGTTTTATAGTCTTGATAGGTTTTCAAAATTCAACGGTCAAATTTGATGATGTTTTATATGCTACTAGCTACTGTAAAATAATTTTTGTACAATGAACCGCCCTATTTTTCCATTCCTCTTTTCTTTCTAAATAAACATTTGTTCTCATGAAAGGCAAAAAGGAATCAAATGGAAAAATTAACGGGAAAAAATTAAATGTTAAAATTACTTGCTCCAAATTACAACAATTAAATGAAAAATGCAAATTTAAACATTTAAACATACTTACAAACCCATCCATACGCTCTCATACACATCCAAATTCACTTTCACACATCCATACTCATTCACACACATTCATACTCTCTCACACACATCCATACTCACTTATAAACACATCCATGCATATTCACACGTCCATGAATTGGCGACGAAGGTTGCTAGGTTTCTTTTAAATTCGTATTGTGATGTTGAATCGCGATGAAAGTCAGATTTTAACAGCCGATTCCGGATTCTTGGTCCTCTAAATCCACGCTAACAAATAATTTTCTCATTTCTTTATGTAAAAATCCTTTTTAATATTTTTTCAAATAACCATTTCCTGTACTCTGTGATTGCTCGATTAAAATCTACGTGATGAAGTTTCTAGCTGTGTCAACTGTTTGGCTAACTGATTATTTTACATTGGGATTATGAATACACTGGGATTGTATATAAAGAGAGAACTCTTCGCCACAGATGTTGATGAATGTTTAAAGACGCCCTGCGTGCATGACAGTTCGTGCCAGAATAGAGACGGTGGATACGATTGCGTTTGTCCCAGTGGCTTCATTGGAAAGAATTGCGAAACAGGTTATTTTCAAAATATGGGCTCATTTTTTCATGTTTTTATTTTTTTTCATTTGTTGAAAAATTGGTTTCTGAAAAAAAAGAATGAACAAAATTGACTTAGCTTTTGACTTGTACCTTTTATCAGTTGTTAAAAAGTTATAAATTTGAATTGATCATTAAACCTTAATATTATAACGGTCAACTTGCTGTTGTTTACACTATAGTCTGAAACGTTTTTAGACGGCACTAATTCACAATAAACCATGATGCTATCTATAATCATTTTTTCGATTATTCCTCTGCGACGTTCATTTATATTCCGTAAACAGAAAAATTTAACACAGAACAAATAAGACAAAAGTCAAATGTAACGTAAGTAGTGTGAACATTTAATGCGGGATTAGTTCATCTCCAGTGAATCCGTCGTCAACAGATTTTATTTTCAGACATCGACGAATGTCTTGCAAATCCGTGTGTCCATTCCGATTTGTGTTCCAACACAGAGGGCAGTTACATTTGCAACTGCACCAGTGGTTACACAGGAAAAAATTGCAACATAGGTTGGACTTTTATGTTACTTGGTTGTTAATGTCGTTGCTAGAAATCAACAGTTCAGTGTAGTCACTCCATTGTAATTTAGAACTTGTAAACAAAATGTATATTTTAGGAAAATTTAATAATTTATCTTACCTGTTAATTTTCAATGACAGACATCGACGAATGCGCCGACACAAGTCTCTGCAAGAATGGGGCAAAGTGTTTTAACATCGATGGCAGTTTCTTCTGCCAGTGCGAAGTTGGCTTCGAAGGAACTTTGTGTTCGGAGGGTGAGCATTCTCTAGCCTATTGATAAAACGGGATTCAAATGCTATTATTAAATGAATTCTGTCTAAATGCATATTTATTGACAAAACTATTTTACTTTCATTTTCATCAAGTCAATATAACCTGTTTTGAACGTACTTGATGTTATCAAGCTGTCGTCTTTTGAAAAACTATTTCTACCAAATTTCAGCTTCTTCAGGACAAGTTTTTTAGAAATTTAGCTGACGGTTTTGTTGAAATAAAATTATTTTAATGTATAATTTTGTACGCGGTTGATAAAAGAACTCTCCAAACTGCAGACGTGAATGAATGTGAGCTCAGTACAATATGTCTTCACAACGGACTGTGTCACAATACATACGGTAGTTATTATTGCGAATGCGACGGCAGATTCAAGGGATCCAATTGTCAAACTGGTAGGTTTTTTTCAAAATTTATTACGTTTTATTTATTACGTTTTACGTTTGAATTTCAATAGTTATTTAAGTGCTAAAATTATAAGATTCTTGAAAATATTTCCTACAAAACACTTTTGCTATTATCCAAAAATGAACCGCCCATACATCCAAAGTAATTGAGGAAAATTTTAAAGAGCAACAGAATGTTTCAACCATACGATTGTGAAAAACGTTTTTAATAAAACTTCTAACTACCACACCACAGACGTCGATGAATGTGCGGCCACTCCAGACCTCTGCAAAAATGAAGCTCCTTGTCATAATACAGAAGGCAGTTTCTTCTGCGATTGTCGTGCTGGCTATCAAGGAACTTTCTGCGAATCAGGCATATTTTACATTACATTTTTTTACAATGTCGATTGAATCTGAATAAAACAAATTTCTTTAAAAATTACTTTAAAATCAATTTTTTTAAGACTATGACGCCTAAAGCAGCGGTAATTAATTTGTAGATGTGAACGAGTGTGACGACACGCCATGCCTCCACGCTGGGTTGTGCAATAATACATTCGGTAGTTACAGTTGCGATTGTACTGCTTTCTACACTGGAAACAATTGCCAGACTGGTAACTTTTCCATTATTTTTCTTACTTTTCTTAGGTTACGATATTTACTAACAATAAATGACGACAAAATACTTAACAATCGGACTTTTTACGGTATTAGGTATTTTACAGACCGGCCGGTTTATTTTATGATTTACAGATATATTTATGTTCATTTACCATGAATTTTGATTTTGGGCACATTTGATATAATATATAATCACAATTATATAACAGCTTATAATGGGCTCCAACTAAGAAAACAATATGCCTGCCCATGTTTAAAAACGTAAACCATATAACAGAATATATATATATATATATATATATATATATATATATATATATATATATATATATAATCAAACAATGGTGTCTATGTTATAAACATTACCAGCATACTTTTGGCCATTGCTGTGTTTTTTTACAACCATTTTAATTTTATCAGTTTGAAATTTTATTAAAAACATGATTCAAATTTGACAATTTAAAATTTAAGCAAAATTTTAAACATAATAAACACTGCAACCGTATTACAAGCCTGCACCACATCACTAATAATACTAATAAATACTAATGCCACTAATTTGGCAAAGGGTTCGCCCAAGCCGTTTCTCTTCAATAAATAAATAATACATGCAGACGTTGACGAATGTACAACCAGCAGACCGTGCGTTCATGCCACATCTTGTCAGAATATTGACGGTGGTTATATTTGCCACTGCAGTCAGGGTTTTGAGGGAATCGATTGTGATAAAGGTGAGAAAATTTAGGATTTTAAGCTTATTTCTAGCCATTTTTTTCTAACTCAAGTATTATGACAAAAATCAGTTGATAAGTTAGAAGCATGGTGAACTTTGTTATCAAATGCAATTTATTTAAATGTGTGTTATATAAATTAATTTAGATGTAGACGAGTGTAAAGACATGACATTTTGTAAGAACGGAGGTTCGTGCACAAATATTGACGGTGGTTTCATCTGTCACTGTCAGAATGAGTTCAAAGGAGTTACATGCTTGACAGGCAACCATTGGATTACTGACTTTCAAATGAAATTTATAATCGAATTTAAATTTTCATCTTTGTGCATTCCAGTTTTAAGAAAAATTAATAATTACGATTGTTTTTTGGAAAAATAGATTAATAAAGTTAACCATATATTAACTGATTTAATTTGGAACCCATTTAGACGTCGATGAATGTCAAATTGGTGACCCTTGTAATGGCAGAGGGTCATGTCTGAATAAATATGGCGGCTACCTGTGCAACTGTGAAAGTGGCTTCACCGGAAAGAACTGCGAATCGGGTTAGTTTTCAAATTTAAAAACTTTTTGTGTCCTCATTCAGAATACCAGGTTTGTGTAAATTATTATAACAAATTGTCTTTTGCTATTTTGTTATTGTTATTAGTGCAAAAAAATTACCCAGTTGAAACTAAATTTTTTTGTTTGAAAATCTTTCAAATGTAAAGAAGGACATTTTTCTGTGGTATTCAATTATTATTCTATTTGAATCTAAATTTTATGAGATTTAAAACTTTTGTCTAAATTTTAATTTAATTTAACTTAAATTTAAATTTAAATCTAATGTTTCACAAGCTCATAAAAGAATTTCCAAAAAGTAATACACAAATTACCTTCAGACATTAACGAATGTTTGACCGGCTCGCCCTGTTTTGAGGGAGGAACCTGTGAAAATACAATTGGCAGCTACAGGTGTAAATGTGCCAGTGGTTTCTCCGGTGAAAACTGCAAATCTGGTGAACTTATGGTTTTTTATTACAAAATACACCATTGTCACACATATTTGTTATTGACTAGTTGCTTGTTTAAAAGGTAATAAATGATTGTTATAATATTGTTAATGTCGGCTCTTTGGTCATTCTTTAAATGTTAAAATATCTCAAAAGATTATTATTCATTTCCTTAATACAAAATAATAAACATGAAAAAAAAATTTTATGGTTAACAGATCAAGTGATAAATGTTAAACCCAAAATCAGAATAGCAAATTTTATAACAGAATTTTTCGTTATTGATCAATGATAAATGAGTTCAGTATGAACGAAATTGTATCAGACGTTAACGAATGCGATACTATTGCTGGCCTGTGTAAGAATGGAGCGTCGTGTGCCAACACAGTTGGGAGTTTCAGCTGTCAGTGTAATGTTGGTTTCCAGGGTGATACGTGTGCTTCAGGTTAGCTTCACATTCTACAATTATTAACATTTATCATGATTCGCTGTGAAATATCTTGAAAATGCCCAAGTGTTTATCTTAGTTTATTTTAACGTTTTATGAAACTTTATGGGTCTAACATGGTATAGGTATATGAAGTATCAAATTAAAATGATTGATCAATAAAAGTTACTTTCCAAATTAACCAGTTCCTTTCATTCGATCTTACAAACTTCGACAAACAACTCTTGACCTCTATCTTCTATTCCAAATGTGATTTTAACACATTTTTTTACACATGTTACGTGGCAAATACCAATCAAAACACATAAAGCTACCAGAAACTTATTTGTTAATTTTTTTAAATGAAAACGCTTGTCTTTGCCACTGCCAACAAAATTTATGGGTAGAATGAAACGTAAATTTTCAACTCAAGATATCAACGAATGTAGTCTCAGCAATCCATGCCTTAATGACGGCTGGTGTAACAACACATTTGGTAGTTACGTGTGCGTGTGTTCTGCTGGTTACACTGGCAATATCTGTCAAACTGGTATTTTTTTAAAGTTTATAATATTTTTCATTTTTTGAGATTTTCAAATAAAATTTTATCCATGAAAGATTTCTGATAAATTAAGAAAGTATTTAACAAAAACAAACTAATTAGTGTAGCAAGCAATGATTATTAAACAATGAAAAAATCCTCTTAAGTACTCACTGTTTGAAAGTGAGTTTGTAGTAATTTTTATGAAAATGATGACTTTTTTGATGATAAAGATGATAATAGTGGAGATGATGATGAAATCGATGATGAAGATGATGGTAATAATGCTTCGCACAGATTACACATGATATTTTGATGTTCATCCCATACCCCATTACTTCATTATTCTGATATTGAGTTATAAATCGTCGTATGAATATTTCATTTGCTTATTCTTTGACGTATATATAACGTTAAAATGTACAGATGTTGATGAATGCATGCTGTCAGCTCCATGCTTACACGCTGTCTTTTGTGAGAATACTAATGGTTCGTACGTTTGTCACTGCACGACGGGCTTCACGGGCTTCAACTGTGAAATAGGTTTTTTTTTAAAGTTGTTTGAAGTTTCAATAATTTTTAGAGAGTTAAAATATTGACATAGACTTTTTTTAAATTTTTAAAAAATCAAAATTTCGTTTGGAAGATGACATAGAGTCTCAAAATTATTAGGAAATCAAATTTTTTTAGAGTGACGACATGTGTAGACTTTTAAAATTGTTATTGAATCACAATTTTGTTTGAATGATGGCATTGATTGTGAAATAATTCAGATATGGACGAGTGTGTCGACGACGATCTGTGCAAAAATGGTGCAAATTGCACAAACACATACGGCAGTTTCACGTGCCAATGCGCTGCTGGCTTCGAAGGACCAACATGTGCAAAAGGCAATTTTAAAGTTGATTCATTTCAATTTTTAAGATTAATTTCATTTTAAATAAGTATTTAATTTCAACTTTAAAATTAATTTTTATCCAATTATTCAATTATTATTTATTATTTTACTATGCCAATCTCACGAATAATTTTTTTTTCGTTTTCGTACAATTGTACGCTGAATATTGTTGCTATTGAATCTAAAATTTATTCGACATAATTCAAATATACCACTAGTTCTCAGAAAATTCAATTAATAAAGTGATGAAATGTCCAAAAATTTTGGATAATCCCCAGATATCGACGAGTGTGTGATAGCTCCCCCGTGCAATGGTAGAGGGTCATGTCAGAACACTGATGGCGGTTACATATGCCACTGTAACAGTGCATATGAGGGAAAGAACTGTGAAATAGGTCACGCTTGTGTGTGTGTGTGTTTGTTTTTTTGTGTGCGTGTGTGTGTGTGTGTGTGTTAGTGTATGTGTGTGTGCGTGTGCGTGTGTGTGTGTGTGTTTATTTTTCTAAACTATCTTACAAATAAATGCAGATGTAAATGAATGTGCGGACATCAGTTTGTGTAAAAATGGAGCGTTGTGTATCAATACAGTGGGCAGTTACAACTGTCAGTGTTCTCCTGGATTTAAAGGACCGAATTGTGCCACAGGTTGGTTTTTTTTTTAAATAATTTTGTTTATTTAAATTTCAGTTTTCAAACTTTAGACTGTTTATCAGTTTTTTGAAAAAGAATATTTTATCTAATTTACAGATGATTTAGAGTTTATAAATTTTAATTTATGGATTTTTAAATTCATAAGACATCGACGAATGCATTAGTTTTCCATGTAACAATGGAGGCTTGTGCCAAAATACGAACGGAAGTTACGTTTGCCACTGCACAGCTGGTTTCACTGGAGACAATTGTAATTCAGGTATGTATTTGTTCAAACTTAATCAATCATCTTTTATTTTCTATAAATTATTTATTTTTATTTTATAGTTATTATTTCTTGTTAACATAACCCGGAAAATTTTTAATTAGGCCTATATATAGTTTTCAACCATTTGATGAGATGCAAAGTACTGATAGCATACTTCACAATTATTTTTGTACAAACTTCTTGATTTTAAAACGAGAGTTTTATGTGATGAAAACTTTAATATTTTAACTTGTCCATTTTCCTAGATATAAACGAGTGTGCTGACAATCCATGCCAACACGGAGGTACGTGTTCCAACTCATTTGGAAGTTTTTCTTGCTCGTGCACAAGCAGTTTCACTGGTCCTACTTGTGCATCAGGTTTTTTCATTCTTGCCAAATTGTTTTTGTGGTGATTGTTATGGTGAGTCTATAGTGAGTTCATTGTATTCACGTTTTTCCGAAAAAATTTGACAAATTTTAAAATTGTTCTGTATTCTGATTGCAGATGTAAATGAATGCCTTCTTGGAAACAATCCCTGCTTGCACGGAGGGACATGTCAGAATTCATTTGGTAGCTTTGAGTGTCAGTGTCCTAGTGGCTACACAGGAGCCAAGTGCGAATCCGGTGACGTTTTGATTCTTTATTGTAAAGTGTATAATACGTTTGCAAGTTAAATTGAAAGTTTGTTTGAAATTTCATTAATTTTGTTTAAATCATTCTTGAATTTTTAAAATTTTTGTTTGTATATTTTATAAATTGTTCATCCATTATTATTGTTTAAACATTAAAAGAAGGTTTATAATTATTTGCTTATAATTTAATTAATTACTTAATTAATTAATTACTTACGAGGTTCAGAGCGGACCTCAAGTTGGTTATCTGTTTAACTGAGGAGCACTTTTGAACATTGCGGAAATGACGCTTCAAAACCTATTTGATTGATTAGTTGATTGAATTTTTAGATATAGACGAATGTTTGGTCGGCAATGCATGTCAGCATGGAGGAACATGCGTCAACTCGTTTGGTAGTTACACGTGCACATGCACCAAAGGTTTCACTGGGCCTACTTGCGCCACAGGTTCCTTTAAAGTTTTTTTTATAGCCACAACTGTAGTGAAAACAAATTTTTTTATTTCATCAAAATATGTGTTTGTGCTTGGCTTAAGGTAACTTTTTGCATTGTTTTTAATAATTGTTTATACCACACTTTCAAAACTATTCCTGAGCAACTTGAAGTTTTTCATGTACATGTATGTGAATTTGTGGAATTAGATTGTTATAACAATTTATTAACTTTACAATATTTATAAAAAATCATTCGTGAAAAGTTTAAACCTCTTTAAAGAATTTGATTTATTCTACAGACGAGAATGAATGCAACCAGGGCACGCCTTGCCTGCATGGCGGTACATGTTACAACACGTTCGGTAGTTTCACGTGCCAGTGTTCCGCCGGCTATACTGGAACGGTTTGTGATTCAGGTTATCTTCTTCACTCTTTTTTTTAAACATTATTTTCAGTCATTATAAACATTTTTGTAGAAACTTGACAAAGTTTTATGGCAAGAACATTTGAAATCTATTATTTCCTTCCATTAAGTTTGTATCATTAACATAAAATCCATTTCATACGGCAAGCTCTATTATAAACCATTTATTTAGAAGAATATAAAAAAATTTAACGATGATGGCCTGCAGATGTTGACGAATGCATGGTTAGCACACCATGCCAGCATGGAGGCACATGCCAAAACTCATTTGGAAATTATTCGTGTCAATGTACGGCTGGTTACACTGGGCCCGTCTGTCAGACAGGTGGTGATTCTTTGTTGTGGAAGTACATGCCTTTTTGTAAATATTATCATAAAATGATATTTATCTGACACTACAAATCAACTTGAACATTAAACTATTTATTTTAATTAATTAAAATGTATATTATTTTTTAGTTTTTCTTTGGATCATTTATAAGCATATGTGGCAGGATTAAGAATGTTGTGTTTGACATTTGCAACTTTTGTATTTTTGAAGTTTGTTTCCAAACTATCCGAGAAAAATAAATTTTTGATTAAAATAATTTTAGGTCTAATTAGCTATACTGTTTTTAAAGCCAAATTAAAAGCAGACGATTCTTTCCAAAACTTGGCGTATTTTAATTCCTTTATACATTTTTTTTATGTACGATTGCATGTAATGGTTCGTTCAATCATTACATTTTTTTAAATCATACATCAAATCAGAGAAACACTAGTACATGAAGTTAAATTGAATTATTTCAAACCCACAAAGACGTCAACGAATGCGTGCAAGGAACTCCATGCCAGCACAATGGAACCTGCCAGAACACAGTTGGTAATTACACGTGCCAATGTCCAAGTACTTACACCGGGCCAAACTGTCAGATAGGTCATTTTCGGACTTTACTTTAAAAGTAGAGAATATATTTTGAATGAAAAATTTAGTATATGATGAAAAACCCACACAGATGTCAACGAATGTCAAACTGACTCTCCTTGCAAAAACGGGGCAACCTGCTTAAACAATGACGGCGGTTACACGTGCACATGTACAGCTGGGTTCACTGGCCTTACATGTCAAACAGGTTCCATTTAGGATTTTTTTTTGGCTTTTATATAAAAAATGAACGTCTTTGAGATAAATCTTTAATTACTGGCACATTCTAGTTGAGTGAAATTGATTTTAGCTGTGAGCACTTATAAACTTTACGACGAAACCAACTTAAATATCCACTCAACCAGCGTTTTGTGTCCGATAAATAGTGGAATGCTATCTAATTTCACTCATTTTTCAAAATGTTGTTACTACTCTTTCGAAATTGTCCGTGAACATATTAAATTATTTCCACTTATGAAAATCTTGCAATATTAGTGTAGGCATCGAACTTTGAATAGAACATCAACTAGAAGGCATTGTATTGCTACCCAATCACTTACGTCCAATATTGAAACTCTATTTAGGTGTGCTTCGCTGAAAATATATCGAATGTTTGAAACCACCGAGATCTTTGTTTCCAGTAAAATTTTTAATAAGAAGAATACGATAGTCTAAAATTACATGATAAATTAAAAATAACATCTGAGAGTTAGTATGATATTTTGAAAAAAATGTTTCGCCTAACTGCCGAAACAATGCGAAACATCTGCAGACATCAACGAGTGCAGGGCTGGAACTCCTTGTAAAAATGGCGCTACTTGCGTAAATACGGTTGGAAGTTATGCGTGCCAGTGTAGGAGTGGCTTCTCTGGACCAACCTGCCAATCAGGTGGCTTTTATTATTCCTATCTCAATTCATCAACAATTTTGGTAATAAATTTTCAATAAGCCGTTCATTAATCTCTATTTAACAAACTTTTGTCAAACGATATATATTAATTTCGGTGCAGTATATATGATTGAAAAAGTAATTTCAAACATTTCCAGTTTCTTTTAATTCACTGTTGTTTTTGTCTTCCTATTTGTCTAATTTTTTTCCATTGTTCATCAAAATACATACTCCATTATTTTTTTTAGAATCCAATAATAATGGTTAGCGATACCTTCTGAAATGCCAAAATGGAAAGCCTTCAACTATAAACGTTTTATTTGGTGTATTTTATGTAGCATTTAAAACATTTTTGATACTTGTATAAAAATTATAATTTCAAATTTTTTGAAAATTTTACATTTTTGATGTTTCTAACCTAAACCTTTGTATCATTGTTTTACTTTAAATTAACCAGCTTTTTATTGTTAATAAAATTTAGCAGCAGCATCATAAGAAAACTTTAAATTAAAACATTAAATAATTCAAAATTACCGGAACAAATCCCACAGAATTAACTCAAAAATAATTTAACTCAATTTTACGACTTTCGATATGTTACTCAAATGAACAACACTACCTGATTTACACAATCAATCAATCAATCAATCAATCAATCAATCAATCAATCAATCAATCAATCAATCAATCAATCAATCAATCAATCAATCAATCAATCAATCAATCAATCAATCAATCAATCAATCAATCAATCAATCAATCAATCAATCAATCAATCAATCAATCAATCAATCAATCAATCAATCAATCAATCAATCAATCAATCAATCAATCAATCAATCAATCAATCAATCAATCAATCAATCAATCAATCAATCAATCAATCAATCAATCAATCAATCAATCAATCAATCAATCAATCAATCAATCAATCAATCAATCAATCAATCAATCAATCAATCAATCAATCAATCAATCAATCAATCAATCAATCAATCAATCAATCAATCAATCAATCAATCAATCAATCAATCAATCAATCAATCAATCAATCAGAGAGTCAATCAACTTTTTTATCAGTCAATTAATCAATCTCGAAATTTACTATAGTACTATTTATCTTGAGTTGAAACGCGCCTCGCTACAAGCTTAATAAATGAATGAATGTCTAGTCTAGAGACCCGGTCTAAAACTTGTGAATGTATGAGTTGAGACTTGGTAAGATGGTGTGTAACAATGTTTCAGAGGGGTTGAGAACATGCTTTCAAAATTTAATTTAAATCAAATTATAAGATCAAAATTGTCGGTTGTTAATTGAACATTGCGGAAATAGTGCTTTATAAACTGACTGATTGATTGGTAAACATCTTACATAATGCAAATTAACTTTTAATTCATATTAATTTGAAATTTTTGAAACATTTAGCTTTAAAAATGGGAAAAGTTTGTATTTAAAGCTATGAAGCAAGAATCTTATAGAATGTGATTAGAAGGAAATGACTGAGAAACGAACTGGTCCTTCGTGGTTTGTGACTGACTCTGTGTGGTTTTTTGTTGAAATGTTATCAAGAAAAACGCTAGATGAATGCTCTGCATTTGATAAACTGTGATGAACCGTCAGAGAAAAAAATATCCAAAGTGTATTGCACATAGGTTATCGCATGCATAAGTACATACGGATTAAACAAAAATTTATATCAAACGATTGATACGCGTAAGCGTGGACGCGCTTGGTTGGTTAACAATTGATAGCTTGCGAATGAAATCGTTCTAGCTGTGTGTGTTACGTGAATGTATGTGCAAATATTCACGATAGTGTAGTTCTGAAATATGCCGTAGGCTTAGGAGTGTGTGCTAGCAAGTAACTGGGTATTTTAATTTCAATGAATCACTAAGCGTATGCCAAAACATATAGGTATTCGTGTGCATGTGATTTATAAGTGTGTGTGGTGTGTAGGTAGGTAGGCTGGTTGGCTGTTAGGTAGGTAGGTAGGTAGGTAGGTAGGTAGGTAGGTAGGTAGGTAGGTAGGTAGGTAGGTAGGTAGGTAGGTAGGTAGGTAGGTAGGTAGGTAGGTAAGTATATGGTTGATGGGGTTTGCGTTTGAACATTCTTGTTCCGCACACAAAAGTATTGAATATTACTAATTCATAAACAATGAATAGATACACACACACACACACACACACACATACAGGCATATATATACACATGCATGCTTACATATACACACACGCACACATACAAGCGTACATACGGACACACATGCAAGCGTACATACGGACACACACATCCGTACAGACAGAAACATACATGCAAATAGGCTAACACGTAACGAACGCTGATTGGGTGATTGATGTTCATTGTGTACCTTTTACGCTAATGTGAATACTGGCTGCTGTTGATATTTGAATGAAATACAATTAAATTATCATAATTTTTGAAATCTAAACGGTTGAAATCATCTTAGTTATTTAGTCACGTGATGAATAGTGACTAAGATTGCTCTTAGGTTATCATTGTGTATCATGTTGAAGTTGGTATTAATGAAGGTAATAACGATGATGTTTGCTAGGGTAACAAAGATATTGATGATATAATGATAGCATAAGATGAAAGTAAAAATGATACCATATCATCTACGAAACCATCAAGGACAACGATTTTGCATAGAGTTTTGAAATTATGATGCACTGCATTGCAAGTTTCTCATACAGTTTATCGATTTATTTACACGTGTATTTAACCTTTTTTTTAACCACCAATCATTCGTCATACATCAATCTAGTCTTAAACAACGTTTTAAAGACATTTCTCGCATTACGAAAGGATTCATTGGCGAATGGTTTGAATAACTTAACATACAGACATTTCATTCTTGAACATAAATTTAATGAAACAATTTTAGAGGAATGATGAAAAAATCATAAATTGAAACAAAGATCAAATATTGAGCTAATAAATTAATGTAAATTTTAAATTAAAAAAAAATCAAATATAAGTTCAAACAACACAACACAGTAGCAAAGAAACACACGTGCAAACGTATTACATGCATGGATGACTGTCAGCAACACAACATACTACAACAACACTACCTACCAATGAACTAGCCAACCAGCTAACCAAGCAACTAATCAACCGAACAACTAACCAAACAACCAGACAACTAACTAACCAGCCAAACAAACAAACAGCCAACCAATCTATCAATTTAGTACGCTTATAGGAATGCTTGAAGAATAAGACAGGTAAAACTCTGGTACCGGCATTCAATTGCTCAGACGGCGAAGCATTATTTAGCAATGTTTCTGTGTATGTATATGTATCTATGTGTATTATGTGTGTATATATATAAAAATATGTGTGTGTGTGTAATATATATATATATATATATTCTGATGTGGATTGGCATGCGTAGGTTTAATGCTAGTATAGGTGCCTTAATTTTTAAACAATGCAATTAATTTTCAATAATATGAGTGATGTTAGGGAATTAAATATAATTTAAAAATTTTATTGAATGAATATAGCAATTCATTTCGAGAAAATTTAAAAATAATTGCTTTTAATTTGTATATCCATCATTGTGTAAGCGTATTTGTGTTTGTGTGTGTGTGTGTGTGTGTGTGTGTGTGTGTGTGTGTGTGTGTGTGGAGTGTGTGTGAGTGAAGTTGTTTATACGTGAATTATAGAAAACACACATAAATTAACACAGCTGTCTCCAATGAAGATGAATGCTAGAGACTTCTTGTCATATTTTTTATTTTAATTATGAGATATTAAAATGAAATAATTTTTAATAATATTCACCAATATTGATAGTAATAGAAAGCAATAATATTTTAAAAATTATTTTTAATAAAATAAAAATATATAATTACAATCTTATAAAATGGAGAAAAATATGAGAAAAAAGTTATATAATGATCATTAAACGTCAAATTTGTATAAGAATTTGTATACAAACATCATTAAAAATTTGACACACATACAAACACACAAACACATTTTGCCACACACATACACACACATACACATACACACACACATCACACACACACACACTTTGGCAAACACATACACGCACACTTTTTCATTCGCATTGACATACACCAAACCAGACATTTAAACACAGACATAGACAAACACACACATGTATATATACACACACATATATATATATACACAAATATATACATACACATATATACATACACATATACCATGCAGATATGCAAGCAATGTATTGAAGAAGCAGAACAAAAAGTGACTAGCATAGCAAGTAGCAGCAAGAGTGGGAAGGCTTTTCTGTATATAAATTTCTAACCTCTCGTCATCAATTAGTTATTTTCATTTCAGTTAGTATATAAATGTTTTTTAATTATTTTCTCTTTTCTTGTAATATTTAGTTTGCAATATTTTTTAATTTTACGGAAATTATTGTAATTTTTATATTTGCTAACACTTTATCTTATGTTGTCATATTGGCTTTTTAATCGAAATACAACATAGAATTAGTTGACAACTAATTCTATACTGTACATTGTTGTTTTATGAATATACTATATCAGTAAGATTTAGAAATTATTAGCTTATAATCCTATTAATTTTTAAAAAATTTCATCTATCAGACGACAGCTTTTTGGCCAGTTGAAAGCTGTTAACGTTCACTGCACCGAAATAACTTGAATCCAACAATCTACCGATTTTAAACTTTGTTGGCAAAACTAATAAAAACTCTCTGCGAAACACAAAGATGAGTACTTCAAATCAATTCATGACGACTGAATATGAGCGAGTCGTTCGCTCGCACATTCAGCCACGACATCTTCTCATACAGCGAGGTGGAACTGGTGGCGGTGGATTGGCCAACATTTCATCATCGAGATCAATCGTCAGCAGGTCATTCAACCCCGTTGGAGCTAGCACTGTCCTGGCCGGTGGAGCAGTGACCAGTGTGACTGACCAGAGGAAGCAAGAGAAGAGGGAGATGCAGGATTTGAATGAGAGGTTTGCCGGTACGTTTGCTTAGTGTTTTCCTTCATTTTGAGAGTTTAGTTTGAGAGTTTAGTTTCAGCTTTTTAATATCTGCAGGAATTAATTTTTTTTCTAAATTTATAATTTAACTAGAAAGTAATTTTAAATTAATCACAAATAAACATCTCAAAAATGAATGTAGTTGTTATATCTTAGAAAAACTTGAAAAACTATTTTGCACTGCTTTTGATACACATCTGCATTCTGTATACAAATTTTTCAAACCGCAAAAATAGCTGAGTGGTGAACGACGTTGCATCTTAACATATTGCGAACAAGGATTGAAATAACTGTAGAATAATAAACTCACGTAAATCAAAAAACAGGCTACATCGAGAAAGTTCGCTTCTTGGAGGCTCAGAACAGAAAGCTCGGGGATGAGTTGGAAGCGTTGAAAGCGCGCTGGGGAAAGCAGACCACGATCATCAAATCCATGTACCAGGCTGATCTCGACCAGGTTTGTCCACGTTTCATCATATTATAATACTTTGAGTAGTAGGTATAATAATAATGAAAGTTGCTAAATCTTCTAGCCGGGATAAAAATATTGGGTAAAACGTAATTTTCGATTTGGTTTTTTACATAAATAATTTTCTTAGATTCATCAAGTTTGCAAAAGTCTGTAAATCTTCTAGCAATTATAGCTATCAATTACTATTTAATTAAATAAAATTTCATTTTTTACCTTAATTTTTTGATCAAATTTGTCATTTTTCTTTGTTACCTTGGTTTTGCCTGTTGTTGCAACCAGCTAGAGTTTTGGATTTGTGTAAGCTAGAATCGTAGCAATATTATTTTTAAAATGAAATTATTTTGTGTTTCTGGTTTCGTTCTAGTTGAAAAAATATATGAAAATTGTCGATTTTTATTTTTGATAATTTCGTCGCAAGAATTCTAATTCAAAATTGCTTGATGTGTTTGGAAAATAAAATTTAAAGGTCAAGAAACTGTTGGAGGAAAGTGAGAAGGAGACGCAAAGATTGCAGATACAAGTTGCTTCGTTGGAAGAGAAAGTTGACGAGACCAGAAGAAAGTAAGTTCTCTTCTTCATCTGTCATATTTTTTCTTATTTTTAAATTGAAGTACAGATTAAGGTATGTGCTTGCTTGTTTGGGCCTCCAGAATCAATAATTACGTTTGCATTTTTATTAACCAGCGATAGTGATTGCTGGCAGATTTCAACCTAAGTTAATAAATTCTCAAATTTGGTCCATAAACATAATAAAATTTTACAAAATTTACTTCTTAAATATTATAATAGATTTTTCAAAGAAATAACTAACTTAATTAGGAGTTCATCGCGTAAATTGATTAAAAATGGCGTGAAAATTGTGAAACATGAGTCAATTTGAGTTATACATACTACAGTCTGCGAAAAAATTTTATCAGCTCTGTTCTGTAGGCTGAATCAATGAACAAATATTTAACATGTGTGGCGGTGCTGAACGACTGGATGAACACACATGTATATACAAAGACATTTTCAAAAACATTTCGCAAATCATTCTGTAAAAAATAACACACACGTACACATACACGCACGCACGCACGCACGCAAACATCTAGACACACGTACAAATACATAAAATATAAACAAAAGCTAAAAAAAGATAAAAATGGCTACGTGTGACAACACGTTCATATCCAAACATCATATATATATATATATATATATATATATATATATATATATATATATATATATATATATATATATCACCTTTGATATCGCCAAATAGTTTTTTTCAAAGTATATATATACATATACATGTATGGTCTAGTCTATAGACATGAATGCGTATAAAAGTTGTCGAGCGACATGAGTTGTATGTATATATGTGGGGCAAAGCATTAGCAACGACACTGCATGCAGCTAGAAATTATTGATTTTGTTAATCATCTGTACGTACACCTACGTACGTTTGTTCGTTTGTGTACATGTGGGTCTGTGTGTGTGTGTGCGCGCGCGCGCGTGTGTGTGTGTGTGTGTGTGCGTGCGTCTGTAATCATATAAGCAAATTACATATTATGGTATCAATACATTCATAGGCTTCTATATGTAACAATTATAAAGGAATCTTGTTTCAACACCTTTGATAAATACTAAAAAAGTAATTTAAATAATTTTACATTCAGTAGAGCGTTTGCTAATGAATCAACCAACTACATCCACCTTATCAGCCGCATCAATCACAGCAGCCACAACCACCACAACCACACCAGCTACAACCGCATCCACAACACCAACCATAGCACGCCACACCAATTACAACCACAACCGAATCAACCTTAACCACACCAACCACAATCGCCACATGCAGACTGGAAGAAGCCCAACATGCCGTAGACGAGAGTAGGGATAAACTGGAGAAGCAGATCCAACAAATTGCGGAGATTGAATCCGAAGTGCACTTGTTGAGGTTAAGGAGTGACCTGCTAGATGGCGATAAGAAGTACCACAAAATGATCATCGCTAGACTGCAAGACAGTCTCAATAGATCGAGATCGGTCAGTTTTGCCATACAATACTATACACTTCAATACAATACAATACAATACATTGCAATAAAATACAATGCAATATTATAAAAAACAAAGCAGTTGTATATAGTTCAATCCTAAATGTATATCTTCCAATCCTGAATGTATATAGTCCAATCCAAAATGTATATAGTCCAATCCGAATGTACGTAGTCCAATCCTAAATGAATTTTTGATTATCAACGTAAATTCAAGTTGGTCGATATTGATTTTGTTGTTACTGAGACCAGGTGTGCAAGCGGTACAGGTGTTTTTTCGTCTAATAAGTCTGTTCGTCTAATCATAGTTCTCAATAATAATAATATTAATATTAATAATACGTACAATTTTAATCACATTGTTCAAACTTGCTCGTCTAAATATTTAAATCTAAAAACAATATAGAAATAACTGAGGCTAATGAGAATTTTGTATTTTTGGTAGAAAAGGCTAGAAGATAATCGAAGAATTATTAAATTTTGACTTTAAAACGATTACAGTATTATAAGCCTGTTGTTAGAATTGGCACGCATATTTAACTAGTTTTAAAATATGTTGAATATTTGTGATAATGACTTTAAATGAATGAAAAAAATCGTACACAATATGCAAAAAATGCTAAACAGAGCTGACTCAAATAACACTTTACTATAATAATTAAAGGACTACGATGCCCAAGTCGCGGAGCATGATGCAGCTGAAGCCAGAAGACTCGCACTTGAAGAAGAACTCAAATTCTTGCAGGAACTCCATGAACAAGTTCGACTTCATATTTACTTTCAAATCATAATTTCTCGGTTTAGAAAAAGTATAATATTCAATAATTAAATTTATTTTTATTTGTAAACTGTAATTCATATTAATTAATGTAAAAAAATTTTTTCAAGTGACACTCGTTTGTTTAACAATAACAAAATGATAAGTTTGCACAATCTCAAATTCCACAGGAACTGCGTGAGCTGGCAGCCAAAGCCTACTTCGACTCAACAGCCTCCAACAGAGAATACTGGAAGAGTGAGATGAGTTCGGAGTTGAAAAGATTGCAGGAGGAGTACGGAGAAAAAATTGATGAACTTCAGAACGAGATGAGCTTGAACTACAACATGCAGGTTTGGATGAGTGTGACGAACTATTTGTATCAGCTTTATAAATGTATAATTCAATTTAGGTAAATTATTTTTTACTAGTTTATTAACTTGTATTTTAAATAAATAAGTATATGACAGCAATGTTTATCAATAAATATTTTATTTTTTTGTTTGTAACACACTTCACAGATCCAATCATTGAATCTTCCAAAAGTTCAACCAGTTGGTTCGTCTAGAGATGAGACCATCCGTCTCAGATCACAAACAAATGAACTGAGAATGAAGATCAAAGAACTGGAAGATAGAGTTAGTTGCAAAAATTTTTATATAATTATTTGACAATTTTAGAGTAACAAATTTGCTCAAACAAGTTCAATATTTACGTGCATTATTAAACTAGGATAAAAAGAATAATTCTTGATCACGATGATACTATTATTTTAATTTTTTATAAAATAATAGAAGCAAGATAATTTCATTTTAAATAAAATAAAAGTTACTGTAATAAAATATCGAAACAACAGAACAGCCTTATCATGCGTGAGATTGAAGATTTGAAACACGACAAGGAATTAAGAGAAGCTGAACTTGAAAAAGACATTGAGCAGTTGAGAATTGACGTGACGACGCTGAGGGCTGAGATGGAGGCCATCAACAGAGAACTGGAGAACCTTATGGATGCCAAGTTGGGATTGGAGAAGGAGATACACGCCTACAGAAAACTTCTGGAAGGAGAATCCAACGAGTAAGTTTCATTTCGTAACTATGATTTCAACGCTAAGATTAAGATTACAAAAGAAAATGTAAATTTTAGTAGAAATTTCCAACACCAAACAGATTTTTTTTATTTCCTTTTTCAGCGTTAATAGAAACATTCTTACTGAAATCCTTTAAAAGAAACATAAAATTCCAATTCTCATTTAAAATCCTTAACTTGCAAACAACAGAGAAGGCCTTAAACAGGTAGTGGACAACATGTTCGATTCCTTGGTGAGTGCAAACCAGTCCAGCTTCTCGCACTCTTTCCTCGGAGGGGTCTTCAATGCCAACACCAGTGCATCTGCCGGAGGTGCTGGCATGGGAGGTGGTGCTGGATTCCATTCTGGTGGTGGTGGGTCTGCCGCTGTCGGTGGTGGTGGTTCAGGATTTGGGGAATACAGTGAGAAGTTTTGTCGATTTTTTCGACGTAATCAATTGATTGAAAAAAATTTTTTTGGAAAAATTCGCTTGAACAACAAATTCAAAATAAAACTATTATAAATAGCTTTTGAATATAACTTATTTTAAGACATAGTTTTGGTAACCGTAATGAAAAATTTAAAAAAAACCTGTAAAACCCAAAAAGAACAATTTTAAATAATTCGATATAAACCAAACATTTTGCAAAATTTAATTTTTTAACTGAATCCATTCAGATGCCTCATACTCTTCATCGTCGAAGATCGGCGGTGGAAGCAGCTCAGTTATCGGTGGCAGAACAAGTTTTCAAAGGAGCGCAAAAGGACCAGTCTCCATCGCCGAGTGCTCCCCTGATGGCAAATTCATCGTCCTTGAAAATACCGGAAAAAGAGTTTGTTCACTTTTAATTCGTTTCTTTTCTATTTTCAGTTTCACTAGAAAATTATTTCGTAACTGAAATTTAGTCAAAATGAGAAAAGTATCTAAATCAAACAGTTTGAGAATGTATTTAAATCTAGAACGTTTTGTTAAACCATTCAGAAGGAGGATCTGGGTGGATTTACAATGAAGAGGAATGTCGATGGCAAGGAGATGCCCGTCTACTCGTTCAAATCTGACGCCATCATTGAACCACACAACAAAATCAAGGTAGGTTGACGGACATATTTATTGGATTTTCTTATTTATATCCTTTGGTTGCTAATTCTAACGTAGTACAATTTAGTTTTTTTGATGTTTTCGCATTTATATCAGAATCAATGGTTAAATGTTTATAAAAAATTAAACTCAGAGGGTATCGATAAAATATTTTAAAGTGACAACTTTCATAAACCTTGAAATTAATCAGTTGTGGGCCAAGGGACAGAAACCCAGCAATGCCACTGCATCAGACATCGAAACTGACATAATGAACTGGGGCACAGGCCAGAACATCACCACCCAACTCTTCAACTCCGCCGGACAGGTTTGCCTAATTCTCCATCCAACTTCTTTTTACTGAAATATTTTTCTAATTAAATCCCTTTTTCGATATAATTATGATATTTTTTGTATTTAACAATTAATATTGAAATTCGTAATAATAAATTACAATTACTATAGTTCAATTTACTTCGCATTTCTTATAACTTTTATTTATTCAAAAATCCAGGATCGCGCGTCCCACATACAAAAGACATTGGCCGGCTAGACGAGCTCCTTCCTGGAAAAACAACACCAAGCACCATCAAAAATTATTTCAGAATCTAAATTAAGAATTAATAACTCAATTAATATTAATTTATTAAAAATTTATCAATGTTTATTTTCTATTAATTCGTGATTTGCTGTTGCTACTAATAATTTAATAAGCTATAAAAAAAGTTATTTCATTTCGTTAATTGGGGAAAATTTTTATGAATTGTGTGAAACTTTTAATAAGCAGAGTAAAATTTAATAAATTTTTTTTTAATTTTTCAAAAAAAAGGTTTGTCAGTGATATTATATTTTTTTTCAAATTTTCATATATTTACTACATCAAACTTTAAAAAGGACAAAAAAAAATTGTTGCTAGATTTCTGCTTCCCGATTGTAACATAATCAGTTTTTTAACGGCTCTATTGAGTCTACTGATGTTTTTAGAATAAATAAAACTATTTTTCACGCAGAAATTTTGTCTTGTGTTCAATTTTTTCATAATTACAGACGTATATCTATAAAATGATATTTTTGAACGGAGGCGGATCCAAGAATTATAATTTGAGGTAGGAATATTTCGACGATAAGTTATTGTAATGATAAAAGAGCAAGGAATCAATATTTTTGTCATTCCATCTGTTTTCCCATAATCGTTATTTTCATACAGGTGGTAAATTCGGCGTGAAATCAATTACCACAAAGCCGTGCATAATAAGGGGACGTTCGTTTTTCTGTCAAGCATTAATCAGACGCATAGCGTACCTCTTCGATCGAATTTTTTAGTCATTTTGAAATTGTCAGCACTTAGATGTTGAAGTTTAACTATAGTTTACCATTTATAAAAATTCTCTTTTAAACGTTTTTAAGTTGATATGATGAATAAATAATTCATTTTTAATTCAATTTTTTATAAACTATCGAAAACAAATGATAGAATGTTATTTTTGAAAATTAGCGATCACTTATCAAAACTTCTATAAATATATTACACTGAACCGCTTATTTTGAAATGAAATTTCAGCCTGCTTACTAACAACGTTGAAGTTTTCGTCACGAGAAATTGAGATATAAGAATGTAGTTGAAACTTGGAAGATGAATTTTAAAATAGCTGTGGTCTTCATGCTTCTTTTCATGGCTTGCCTGTCTTCAGGTTTTAACTATTTTTTAAGGAAAAAAAATTATGGACAACGTAGGAAAAAGAGAGGTAGAATATTAAATTCCAATTTGAATCTTTAAAATATTTGTCCAATTTTTGAAAAATTGTTACACTCGTTCACTGTTGAAAAACTTGAAGTTTAAAAATTTACATCATTTATAATATTTTTTCAAGAAGCTAACGTTAAAAATTGTATTTTAAGTTTGAGAGCGACCAGCAGTTGCTCAAAAGAGAGGCGGAGCAATGGATGACAAAACGTGATGCTGGTCAGCAACTGTCTGCCTCGAATCAGTGATGTTGACTTGACGCTCGTTCATCTAACAAACTTTCATTTCGAAAAACTTTCCAATATATATAATTATATACTTTGTATATTGTTCATACAATCTTGAAATATACAATTTGATTTATTGGTATTAATATGGAAATTTTATAAAATTGTGTTTTTTAGCAGTAAATTTTGTTTTGTGTTTGTTGAGTCACCATGTAGAGGAAGCTATTTATGATTGAAATACTTTCAATTCTAAATTATTCTTATCAGAATTTTTAAACATCTTAACTGATGAACTTTGACGAAAAGAAATTTAAAATAATATAATTTATCGAAGCAAGTAAACAAATTTTTATAAAATTCATTGTTATCTGAGACATTATTCCAATGAAAAACGTAAAAATTGCTGACTCGTCGTAATTTTGATTTTTTTTACCGAACATTGTTCGCTATTTGCTAAAGTAAATGCATTAATTGATAATATCTTTTTGAAAACTTGAAGAATAAATTGCATTTTCAATTTGGAAATTATAGACTTGGGATAATCAAGGCTGCCCAAAAAGGGCAAATGGGGCAGAATACCCCTGGACACAAAAATTCGGTGGCCATACGTAAAGTTAATAAATAAAAAATACGTTTAACGAGTGTATGTACATGAAAATTGTTATATACATCTTTATCAAATTTAACGAAATAATTCATGAGAAAATAATACCAAAACGTTTTATGTATTCAATTCAGTTTAAATTTGTAAAATGGATTGCTTACGTGTCGGTCTAATCAAATATTTTACGGCGGTACATCTCTATATTGATGATCACCGACTGAACCGTTGGTTGTCAGCTGTTGAGATTTGAATTTGTTGGCGGTAATATCGATTTAAATAATTAATTTGTTAATTATCGATTTAAGTAACTTCTAATTAGTTTTTTTATATTCAATTTAAATGTTCCAAATGTTTCAATTGTTATTCTTACAATAAATCTTGCAAAAGTAAACTATTTTTAAAAATATTTTAACTTATTTCTAAAAAAATTTATTTCTAAATTTGTTTTATAATTTTTTTATAATAATAAAAAAAATTGAATAATTACAAATACTGTTTATAAATTTATAAAAAAAATTAATAAAAAGAATAATTACAAATACAGATACTATTTAAAAATCTCTAATTAATAATGTTGTAAATCTAGTGTAGTAAAATATGATTTTTTTAAAAAGTTGCTAATAAAACTTAACTAGCTATTACAATTATAGAATGATATTAAATCCTAGATTAAGTTTTTTAAATTGCTGTTGCATATTTATTGATGATATTGAATTAATAATATTTAATTTTTTATATTTACAGAAAACAATCTGAAAATTTTATCTAGAAAGAACCCAGGCCACAAGTAACGAAAAAACTTCTCCATTTTACTTCTACTTTTTCATTCTAAAGTATCAAAATATTAAAAAACATTCATAAATTTTTATATTCGAACATTTCAACAGCTCTTAAAGTATCTGTCATGGAGCCAGTTATATCTCAGTACGTAATATTATTTCACATCCATCTTACTTACTTATTTCATTTTGTTTCTTTGTTTTTCACCCATTTTTCCATCATATTTCTAATTTTGTATTTTATTTTATTTTCACTCATAACACTGATGGATCAGCACTATGAATGTCAAACTACAAAAAAAAACCCTTAACCTAATGGTTAAGGCTGTCTGGTTCTGTTTTGCAGTAATCGGGTTCGAATATGCCTATCACATGCTTAGTGTGTGATGCATCATTTAGCCTGTATTCAAAAAAGATGTTTGTGGCGTGTTGTTGAATCCTCTGAACTTTGGAAGAGTGCAATTAACCTTTAACCTTTAATTGACCTTTCAACAAAACCTAAATATTTTTATAAATAACATATCTGAAATCATAGCAACTCACATTGCATGTGAAGGACGGGGATCTCCCTGCTATCGAACCGGGTTACTGCAAAAGCCGTGCCAGACACCTTAACTTAAACATTACACTATTTTTTTTTAGTAACTTAGTGCCGAGCGTACCAGCCAGTTCCTTAAGATCAAATAAAAAAGCAGAAACCTTAAAGCTTGAGTAATTAAATTTCTTTTTCTGTCGGATTAATTATGTTTAATTAATTTTATCTAATCATATAAAATATATAAAAATCAAGGAAATCCGTATAGTATACGCTATATACATTCATTCGTCGTTGTTATTGATACATCATCATTAATTTTATTATTCTATTATTTTGTCATTTTCCATAATGCCATTGCGATGAATAGGCATAATTAATCCATTAACTAATTAATTAATTAATTAGATAGCTAATTAACTATTTATTTATTTATTTAATTAACGCAAGAATGAAAGGTTTAAAAGAGAACTTACGGATGACATACTTCTGGGAGAAAATGGGTCACAAACCAATTAGCATCTCAGATGTAAAAGGTTAAAATGGAAAGTTAATAAAATCAGTTACTTTCAACCGAATGACGGTTCTAACGATATTCATTTAGTCATAATTTCAGCGTAGCAGTAAGGTTTCTGTCTTCCATGTCGCAGTTACAAGGTTCAAATGCGAAGATGACCTTAGCGTTGTCAATATTTGTCATTTTAATGCTGCCATCAGCAAAGCGCTATATTAATGGCACAGTGAAAATGTTTATGGTGATTTTGATATTGGTATTATTATTATATTATTGTATTGTATTAATAAATATAAGTAATATAATAATAATTGTATTAGTATCATCTATAACAGGGGTGGACAAACTTTTTGTTTTGAGGGCCGCATTGAGGACTATTTTATCTTTGAAGGGCCGCATATAAGCAATTTTTTTAATTTTTTAGACCCGGGGGAGGATTTTTTTAAGATTAGTGGCTCCTTTTTTGGTCATAATGTGAAATGTGACGACCTTTTTTTGGCGAACAAAAGCCTCGCGGGCTGCATAAAACATAAAATAGCTTCGCAGTCCACGGGCCGTTGTTTACCCACCCCTGATCTATAACAATAACGATTTATTTAGCGTTGATTATAATTTGCATATTTGGAATCGTTAACAACAATTGATGAACGATGAAAAATATCTTGATAGTGCGAAAGGTACTGAAATTCTTTTTGTATATATTTTATTATAAATAAAATGTAATGATTATTAAAAAAATTGTTAATAATTTTTTTTTATAGACGCCACAAAAAGGCGAATGTTCAAGAATAATCCAGTTCCTGTCGGACTCAGTTACGTTATCAAGTAGTTGTTGTTTTTTAGAAATAATTTTGGCAAAATCTCACTTTCTTGGCTACCACATTTGTAAAACCACGATGGTGGAGTGGTTAAGATTGCTGGCATTGCTGTTGCATTGACCAGGTTCAAATACAAAAAAGTGTCGGCCTATCTACATACAGTGTACGTTTGTGATAGGTTGATTCACTAGTACTATTCACGTACAGCGTGTATTTATATGTTGATTGTACTTCTGAGAAATACACAGAGGAGAATTGTAGAAAATAATTCATATTATATAAATGAAAATAAATAAATTATTTTGAGCCTTCCCACCCACACACAACAGCTTCCACGAATTCGACTTGTTTCTTGCTGAACTGCTGGTATATTTCGACCACATGTT